ATCTCATAGTCACTGGAAACAAATTAAACAAATTACTGAATTTATTGATTTACCAAAGTAGCTACTTTGTTCTAGATGTTATTCATAAAAAAGTAATCTAACATACATGGGCGCATATCCAATCAATAGTTTATTAGTAGCAGCAGTTTTAATTTTTAGAGCTGTATATAAATACAAAATTCTATTCAACAGGTTACTACTGCGTTGCATAATAAGGAAACACGATTGCAGCACTTTTTTAGTGGACATATAGACATACCGACATATTTTGTATGATAGGTGGGTCACTGTTATAAGTGAGAAGTTGAGGAGGTAAATGTGAAACTAAATGTACATCTGTACGTAACGATTAATCATTGCTAACAAAAAAAAAGTTTGAGCGGAGTTCGGTTATACATATTTTGAAAAGCCGGAATATTTACGATTTTAAATTAATAAATTTCGTAATTTTTCCATTTTTCCTACGTTTTTAATAGGTTTTAAACGTTTTAAACCACCTCCAATCAGATTTACATTCAGAAAAAGTACTACACATTAAAATCGAAGTATAATTTCTGAAAGAAATTTGTTCATAGAAAAAACGAAAAAAACATCATTGTAAAACCAATACATTCCTCGCTCTGCTCAGAATCTAAAAAAAAACGTGGTATATGATTGTACCGTGCATAACAGTAATTCGCATCCGTTTTTTAGAAAATGAAATAGTATTAATTCTAAGCAACCATTATATAAAATATAAAAATATATATAATAACCGATAACCATCGGGACGCTAGATTAAATTTGTCGGAACAATATGTCAATTACGAAATATAGCTATAATTTTGATAATTTTGAATGAACAAAACGTTATTTTGTTCTAGTGCTTTGGTGGCGAAAATAAAAAAAAAAAAAAAAAAATGTAATTTTTTTCCAAACATTACGCATTGAACAACAACACGGATTTCAGCATCGCGAAAACGAGGCGCGGAACACCCTGTATATACGCATAATATTATTATAATAATATGACATTGTGTGTGCGTCGAGTGCACAAATTATTACGGCCGCGTATTACACGCCACCGTTGTCGTCGTCGTGCGTCGTCGTCGTCGTCTACATAATAATTAGACGGAATTACCGCGGACGGTGTTATATACCTATGTAAACGTATAATAATATTACAAGTATACAGGTATACCGGCACTGCACTCGGGTTATTGTTGCCGTTATTATTCCGCCGGGTAATGAATCCACCGAACTTCTTAATTAAACGACCCCTCGAACGGCTGACGCGGTGACGGTGACGGTAACGGGCCGCGGAGACCCCGCCACCTGCGTATTAGCAATCTGGGATTGGTCGGGGCGCAAGGTCGGTTCTGGTCATACGAGTAATCGTAATCATAATGGTACAAAGAGAGGCCGTACCGTGCAACACTAATGTATCTGAAAAGGGGTAGACGCCCGGCATTGATAGGAGATCGAGTAGGCGAATGAGCAGGCATATAGTTGCAGTGTTGTCATTTACGTAGTGATCAAATTATTCAATAATTATTGCCGTACGGGAAAATTCGATACCGAAAATGTTCATAATATCACATTATCAGTGGAAAATAATTGATTTTCATGTTATAATCAACGAACAGTAATAATATAATAATTGATAATTGATTCTATAACTCGGAATATTATCATTATTAAAACATGCGCACACCATTATGATAGCGTTTGTAGAATAATAATATAAATCAATTCATCGGTGACCCCACATGGTAACCCTTCACATTTATTGATAACACACGTCTTCATTTATTGGTGCGGTAGACACTTCTTTATTCTGGCGGGCCGATTCGAATTTACTGTGTAGATGTAAGCATGCAGAAGTATCGTGTGTATTTAATGTAACGTATGTGTTTAATATTATTTTGAAAATCTTTCGCTCGTCCCATACCAAAAAAACCCTAGGTATACTGTTTTACTCAAATTTTTTTGATTTTATTATTACTGCTCTAATTATATCATTGAGGCAGGTAAGATGAAATTATCGTGAAGGTAGAAGAAGAGGGAGCATGAGGCCGGAGTACCTCCTCAAAGAAAAAAAAACAAATTAAAATGTTTTAACATTCATTGTAATGCAACCCGGATACATTCTCGGGGGAAGGTCCGAGGGGCTGTATGTATTTCAATAATGTTGCTATATTCACCTTAGGTGAAATTCATATAAAAACAAATTATGTTTGGGAAAGTCAAACCCGTCCATTATCACACATAGAGGGAGGGAGGTTGGATCTGGAAACTCAGAAAAGCTCAAATCAGCGTTAGCATTTAATACTAGTTTTTACTAGTACTCTGTATACTATAGTTATTTCTATCCGATAAGACATTATTATATAGGTTCGTTTGAATTTTCGAGTTTTTATTTTAGACAGCTGCTCTCGATTCGGGTCGTCGAAGTGGGATTTCGCTGGTCGGGTCACACGACCGCCCCTCGTGTTTTGGTATTGTAACCAAGACGACGACGACGACAGCGAGCTTTTTACTATTTAGGCCTTTTTTTTTGTTTATACCGCATATCGGTGGTGGCGGCACGTAATTAAATACCGCGTTTTGTATAATAACGGAATAAATAATATACGTGATACTGCAATAGCATATTATAATAATTATAACGGTGTTTCTCGGCGTGGGACCTTTTACGATTCAGTGAAAACCGAAAAAAAAACCCGCTTTCCGTTCGAAGAATTCGCGATAAATCTCGAGCAGGTTTGAAGTTTTAACCTACCACGGGTTTCGAAAAAAAATAAAAAACGCTTTAGGAAAAAAAAAAATACCGATAATATCAACATGGAACGGCTTGTCGACCACACCGTGTGTGGCGACGATTATTCTGTTCATTTCCTCTAGGTAGTCGGTATTCAAGAAATAAAACCAACCCAATCGCGTTGCGGTTTCATGCGTGACTAGCGTTAAAAAAAAAAAAAAAAAAAACCCGTGGTAAATAATTCGTAGGCACAATTATTATAGCTACAGCAATAATCGCTAATAATAATTAAGTATTCGTCGGTTTTTTTTGTATATTTATCTTTATATTCGGAGTGTATGCTTAAAAAATTAACAAAAGGTACACTGTAAGTTGTACTTAGTGGTCTAAAAACAAATTCGAGTTTAATACATTAGTTTTTTTTTTCATAATCGTTTTAAGATTAAATTTCGACGAAAATCGTAAAATTTACGACTTTTCAAACTTTGCTCCGATTTATTTGCAATAGTTTATATTTGCGTACAGTTAGAAATTAAATAGATTTATTTATTTATTTAAGGAGAAAATAAACTCCGTTTTCAAAATCATAAGTTAAAGTAAAACTATAGTAAGTATGAAGTGAACTATAAATACGTGTGTATAGTATAATAAAAATGTATATAAAGAACAGAAAGTATTATGAATAATAATAATAATAATAATAATAACAATTACAATTAATATAATAGAACATAGTATATAGTTTGGTTGCATACGATTAAATCAAATCACAATTTTGTTTAATATTATTAATACTACAAGAAAATAGATCTGTATTGGCAGGATACCAACAGTTATAAAAACTCCCATCTACTTTTATAACTTTAATCCACTTATAAAACAAATGCAGTTCCCGAGCTCATTTGGTCCAAAAGTAGTCACTTGCTAGAACGGCCGAAAGTGTACAAAAGTAGCGTGAAATAGATACAAGAAAAATTTAATAGACTGAAATAGTCTCATTTCCAGCGAAATTCGATAACAAATAATATTCATATCATAAGCGTGCGCAGACATTCTTCGCGGTTAGTGCATTCCTCCACTACCCCCCTCCCCTTTAAAAACGGATCTATCTTGGTGGGGTAAGATTAGGAATTATATCTTTCCCATTGACCAAAAAAAAAAAAAAAAACCAATATGAGTAATCTACTATTCAAATGTATATATTTCATCCAAGTTACGAGAAAAAGCTTCATATATTGATTAGAAATTGGCTTTTTTTTAGGATTCGGTTTTAAATTACCAATTCCCATTGTCGAGTTGTGTAGAGTAGATGACTTAACGATTTATTCATGATTCTTATCCGCTACATCCTATCCCATTGAAAATTCCTGGGCACGCTATTCAAACTATACAACTAGATGCCCGACTCTATAACAATAATATTAAAAACATTGGCTTGTACACATTACCAAACCTGCATTGCGATGGCTGGCTATGTGTGAGCTTCGAGTCATATAGTTAGATAGTATAAATTTGTGGATTCATCAAACAATTTAACAAATTGAGGTTATTTTTTACGGTAGATTTGAGTTCACGGGTGGTGCACGTGCCCACCCTGCACCTCCCGTGATCATGTCTATGCATAACATATGGATCATAGTTACTATAAAATAAATACTGTGTTGCGAAACGGAAACTCAATTAGATTACTCTATAATTATATTCAACCAGGAATATTATAATTAGAATTCAGAGAACCAGTTAAAAAACAAAATCTTGTTGTTACTGTCGAATGTTGTTACTGATTGCAAATAATTTTATTTGTATACATACATTCATTGCACCGTTGCGAGTAAGATGTTATTAGAATTTTTTTTTTACATTTTTAATTAGAAATTTGTTTTTATATTATTTTTTATACTTTATCGATATTTTTGAGATTATTAATACCTAATTGTTATAACACAAACGCGACAGCATAATCATAATATTATCTATCTAACAAATAAAAACTCGACGGTCTACGCCGTAAAAGATCAAAGGTTGCATGCGATCAGTATCACTTGAGAAAAAAATTGCATTATAGGAAATAAAACTACGGTGGTCGTTGTTCATCATCATCAAATAATATTTCAGTATCTATATAATCTTTGAACTCGTCATACCTATTCAGTAGGCGATCGATACATCGAGTAAACGGATCATATTTATAACAATTTACATACCATAATAAAATAATATTATTATTATATTAAACCGTCAACACATTTTTTAAACCAACATGTTAAATTTCGCCGTGTGGTTAACTCTGATATTAGCCGTGTGCATCGCAACGGACGTCGAGGTAAAAATATAATAATTTATTAACCGTGAATTGCAGTCGTTTATAGTAACAATTATAAGTATAGTTATGCATATAATACTATTTATTGATTAAAATGTACAACAATTATTCTAGGAGTGATTATCAGTCCTACAATTAAAGCAGATTATCGTATACATATAATTACAGTTGCGAGTTGTGAACAAAAACATGTATAGTAAATTCTTAGATTATTATTATTACAAGTTTAACGTCGATTTATTTTGTACCCAAATTTCTTATAATTAAAAACGAAACAAAAAAACCCTTTTTAAAAAACAATTTAGTTTTAAGAATTTACATCATTATTATAAGTGGTATAAAAAAACAATTATTTATTTGTTTAGTTATAATAGTGATACGAAAAAACCAAATGGGTGCGCAGAAAATTGTGGCAAGAATACGCGATCGTTTTCAACGTATTGTCGTTAACGTTTTCTTCTATATTTGAGTTCATTGGTATTCTCATTGGGCAAAACACGTTCCAAATTCCGGTCCATTAACGATATAACTTTCATAAACTTGACGATAACCATGATTTCATCAACATGTTCACGCTTTTCATTTGCTAATCCATCACGAAAATTTCCTAACGATGTAACAGAGGAAAATTTTTGTTTCATTAAACACTAATTAAATATCGTCAAATTATAAAAATGATTTACTGAAAACCAAAGAGATTGTTAAAAACGCCCGAGCCTAGTTGCTGAGCAACGTAGCCCAGAAATCAACAAAAATCTTACAAACGATTGATAGTTATTCCATTTATTATAGAAACTACAAAGAAAAAACCCCTCATTTCAGCACCTAGATCAGAGTTCAACAGGAGAGTTCCTATAAAGATCACATAAATTAATTAGATTCTAAATTTAGCAAAACAACCGGACATACTTCGTGTGGTGAAAGGGCCACTGTATTAAGTGAGATGTTGGGAAGTTAGAGAGGAGATTTAACACCTGTATGCAAAGTTTAGTCATTGCTAACGAAAAACAATTATGAATGGGGGGTTCAGTTTTACAAATTTTGAAAAGCCGTAATATTTATTATTTGAAAATAATACATTTCGTAATGACAGTTTCATCAAAAAACTTATTAATAAACTCATTTGTAAAATCATCAACAAATTTTTTGTATGATCTATGTTCCTGTGTTAAAGCTTAAGATTTCACATAGCCCAAAGTATTTTTAAGATATTATAAATGCATTCATTTATTTTTTTACCACTGTTCCGTACTTTCAAAAGACGTGTATTAACATTTGCTACTTATTTACCTTTATTAAGCAATTCTAAACAAAATGTAAATAATACTAATTATAGGATATTAAATAAATGGCTATAAAATGCTTTATGAAATGGGATAAATTTTTCACTTTAGGTAGCGTCCGGGTAAAGTTTACTATTGGACACCGCTTTTCCAAACATGATAAACATAAAGTGACATACTAAGTAAATCCCATAACTTTTTTTTAAATTTGCAATATTCTTGATAAGTTTATTTTTTATTGAATACACACATTATAAATTTAACAAAAGAAAAACATTTATTAGAAACAAAATACAATAAAAGTTTATTTAACTTAATAACATACCGAGTAAACAAATAGCTGAATACAACTTTGGATAATCTAACATATCGGATGTATAATATTTTAAAAAGGATTAAAAATTACACCGTTATAAATTTGTAATACTTAAGTATCACAAAATACTCATTACTATACACTAACCAAACCATTAGAGTTATTTGAGACACGTATCTCATCAATTACGTTAAGTGCTAATTCTAAATTAGTTTTAACCAATTTAAACTCGGTCAAACTTATTAAGTTCGAAAAATTCTGTATGGAACGTTATAAGAGACGGAGATGAGCAAAACAGTACGTGCAGATATATATCACTTTCTCTTAAGAGTTCAATATTAAAAAAAAAAAACAAACACTTACAACTGCCATTGTAAACGTTTCAAATTATTATAAAAAAAATGATTAGTAAACAAACAAGAAAAAATAATGTAGACAAATTGTCCATGTTGGAAGTATGCGTATCGATCGAATAAACATTATTAGTAGAAATAACGAATGTTTGAACGACGTTAACATTAGTTTGAAATCGAAAGCTCTAAGTGAGGATACTGCGTGAACTTGATCCCCTCCTCAAAAACAAAATTTTCTGGAAATGGATGATCTTAAAAATTTCAAAATTAACGTTGCGAAGTGTTGCAAATCAGTTTGATAACAGTGAAAAAATTGGCATTGGTTCGAAGTCTATAGCTTCAAATGGGGTAGCAAACCTCCTAAACTTCATACGATTGTCAACATTGGACTTTTTCGCTCGTTTGCTCGTCATTTCAAAGATAAATCGACACAATTATTCTATCACATTATAATAATGCCCGATGTATAATACATAATTCAAAGTAAATCTGGGTTTTAAATTCTGAGTTGAGTGAGGGAGGTTACTATAAGTTTTACTGCAATGTGAGCTTATTTGTATACTTTTTATGTCTGTAAACATTTTTTATGATAAATCTTGCTTCAATCCAAAAATTGGTCTGCTCACGTTTTTCCCAATTTTCAAGAAAACTATTCAGTGCATATATTTCTATACTTTCACTATACCGCCAGCTTCACTCGGAATATTATTTTGGTTACAGTGGTTTATCGTTGATTCTGGTATACAAATTTAACTTATCATATAATAACTTCTAATCTTAATACATACAGTAGATTACCCATGCAGAAAAGTACTCATGTCAAGTTTTAAAAAAATATTATGTTAATTTATATAGGCTGGACCGATATTACAACAGATTGCCAAAGACAACAATATAAAGTCTGGAATGTCCAATAACATCTCCGAGGTAAGATACACAACATAATTGTATGCATTAATAGTTCTGGTTGAAAAAGAAAGGTTTTTACTAACAACATAGCATTTGTATATTAAATTTTAAATATTCGACAATTTACAATAAATGAGGTGATTCAACGAAAAAAACGATGTTTTTTATTATCCTTAGTTTTTGGTAGGGCAAATCTTCTTTTTAGACCTTTAGGGTGTTTTTAATTGTAACTACTGATGTAGGTACAATAGTCAATTAATTTAATTAATTAATCACTAATTTAAGAAGAAAAAAAACCGTGTCAAAGAAACAAATAGGTATTCAATTGCTAAATTCAAAACGTACATTGGTAATTATTTATAAATGTTTTGAATTTTAAAACTAAAGGTACCATAGAAAATAAATTATTTAAGTTGATTTCAAATTTTTCAATTCCTTTTTTTTCTGTAAAAAAAAAAATAGTGTTTAGTCCAAAAATCATAGTTCCCCGTTATATTAAGCAAAGTGAACAGAAACCAAAAAAATGAAGAACAGTGCAACTGACATCAACGGTGACCGACATTTATTTACGAACGATTAGTATATTAGGTATACGGGAACCAGGTGCGACCGTAGGAAATTTCGAAGGGAGTTAAGTTAGGTATCTTTATGGAAAATAACAACCGATTAAATAGCCGGCCTAAAATAATCTGTCCCTTGAAAATCAAAGTTTGTCTCCTGTTTGCGTACCAAGATTAAAAACGTGTGTAGTCATTTTGAAGGTTTGGAAACTTCTCACATGATTTTATCTGTATGTAATGATAAACCATTACTAAAATAAAAAAAAAACGATTCGGAGCGAAGTTTCTGTTATACGTGTGCGTAAATTTTCCGTTTTTCCCGGTTCTTTTTCATTTACAATGAATTTCCCATATAATGGGAAAATCAAAAAATAACTGAAGTACCATCCCAGACCAATTTCTTTTCAGAATAGGCGTATACTTTAATATCACAGAAAAAAAAAACAAACAATATTATAAAATTATTTATATAATTATCCTTTCGCTCAGAATCTAAAATAACAGTAATTTGTAATTTTACCACAAATCTATTTTAATTTTTTTATGTTAATTTAAATTGATAAAAATAACTTGCTCGTTATCAATTTATATACACTATACAAATATGATAAACCTCAACTACGGAACGGTTAATTATAGTATAATTTGTATTAAATAAATTTTTGATCATTCTATCTCGCATGATTAAAGATTATTTATGTGTAAAAATAAATATCTATAACTATCGAAATATAATTATAATTATACCGACTTTTTTTTTCTAATAAGCGTTTTGAAATCAAATTTAAACGAAAATCGCAAAAAAAAAATTACGACACTTCAAGTCAATAATCAAGCAATGGTTTATCGTTGCTTACAGATATAAATGAAATAACCTTATGTGTCCTACCTTCCCAATTTCTCACCTACACCAATGGCCACTTCCATCCCCAGTATTAGCTCTTTTTTAATTACAAAATTCATATTTTTAAATATTTAATTTTTGCAGGCCGATACGTCGACATTTCCGATCGTCCAAGATAACCGTATAACGTCCGAGCTGACTGATATTGTCGCCGAGGTAAGGGATACGGTACAATAATATCGTATTTCCAGTTAAATATGCTACGATTCGCCAAAAAAGTATTGATAGTATTTCATATTATAATACAATTATTTTGAAAATATTTAATATCTAATATTTAAGACCATTCAATTTGTGGAAGTCAATTTTTTTTTCTCTATTCCGAGTATTTATTACATGAGTAGGGCTTGTAGAATTTACAGGATCTATAGAGTATACGAGATATACGAGTATAATGTGCAACAAATCTATTGTATGAAAACGAAAAATGTAAAATAAGTAAAATATGCGAAAAGAAAATTATATAATTTATTATTAGTTTTTACCGAAAATTGACCCAGTATTGGATCGAAGTATGAAATCATATACCGAAAAACTGATTGGAATTTTATTTTGATATTTTATAGTACCTATACGATTATTTATAAAACTGTAAAAATACTATTGCAGTAAATATAATTATGATTAAAATATGGTTTCAAATGTTTGGGAAATTTAAATTATTTTAAATGAAAAAACTGTTTTGTTTTACCGGACAATTTTTGTTGCAGTACCTATTTGTTATATAGTCCGATCGGAATAAAATAAGAAACCGATGATAATAATATGTTTAAATTATCGATGTCGTTATAGCCTATGTCGATCCTTCAACAGAACGCCACCGGAAAATCATCGGATTTCAACGTGTTACTGAAACGCATTAACATGAACAACGAGGAATTCTCAAAGAAATTTCCTAACGGAATCACAGACTACTATTCGTACTTGGACACTGTGAGACGCGCGTTTACCGAAGTACAATAATAATTATACCTATGCGTTACTATACCAGTGGCACACGCATGATTTTTCAACTGGGGGAGAAACTAAATTAAAAATTGTACATATAAACATAATTATGCAACACGATTAATTATATTCAGTTACTCAGTTGAATAAGTGGTGCGAATATGTGATAATTACTATTTTATTAGTAATAATTTATCAATGCTGAATAGTTTATATTATTTTTTTTATATTTTACACGACCAATACGTTGGGGCTTAAGATTCCTTAACCCCTGGGTACGCCACTGGTCCATACTAGGAGATATTGTGAAATCATTTAAAAACGAATACGTTATTTTTTACAGTATCGATTAACCCATCGTGAGACAACCAGTGAACCCAACTTTTACAATTATGGATGGTAGATGATAAGGTAAATAAAAGGTTTGTCGTTTATTTTAATATAGAGATCCTATTGCCGTGTTCCCACCCGATAGTCGGTAATAATTGCTAAATCAAAAGTCCAGGTAAAAATGTTTAAAAAATCAAAATAGCCACAGAAAAATACTTGATAGTTTTTCCATGGCCATTTTTGTTATTCACCATTATTACCATCATGAATTATGTTCAAAGCACAGTAGACAATTATTAAAAACGCATTGTCTAATAATTAAAAAGTAGTATTTACAAAACACCACTATAATAATATATAATATATTATCACTAATAATAATATAATAATATCTAATAACTTTCCAATCTCTCACCTACAAAACCACCCATTTATTTCCAATTGTACTTTGAAAGTATCATTATTTTTTGTATAATTAAAACGATGCACGATATATTATACTAATGGAATCAAGGTAGATAATAATGGTAATGGGAAAAATATCCAATTTTTTTCCCTGGCTCTATTTTTCTCTGGACCTAATTTCCTCTGGTAATTCTGGTGTATGTAGATTGTATTAATTTCACTCATACCGTCAGATTCAATATTATAGTTTACAATGTATCGTAACTCTCTTGTCCATTTCTGTGACCCTCTCTCCTGTAAAGATCAAATATTTGACCACCTAATATTCACGGACATTTTTTGTACCTAGTATAATTCATGTGAATTATCTTTTTTGTTTTCTCATAAAAATGCTCGATAATTTAGTACAAAATATACGTTATAAAGTGTACCTGTACTTAGTGGTTACAAAAAAAAAAATTCATTTTCATCAGCGTTTTAAGTTAAAATGTTACTTCGATTTTCACTCAATAGATATAGTTAGTATACTTTAAAAGAAATTACTCTTTATATCTTATTTCCCCAATTCTCAGTCTACATTTTCTTGCTTTTATTCTTTCGTGATTTAATTAGGTTATCGTGAACCTGAAAATTTCTTGTACCGGATAAATTATACAGTTTATGTCTAATATATAACGCGAGTACGATTATTCGTGTGGTATCAAAAAGATCGAACAAATTAAAAACAATTATTGTATAATATCGGCTTAAGTTCGAAATTGAATTTTTATTATTTTATTTGTTCGATTTTTTTTGATACCACCGAAAGTATTTCGGTTTGATATCTTCATGTGTCATTTGAAACCTTATATATAGCTTTAGAGTATTTAGACCTTAACTTATTATGTGTAATCATATTATTATAATAGTCTCTGCATTTTTTATGAGGTTTTTCAATTTGATTTCACAGTATTTTTGACCACTTTACTAAAAAAATCATTGTTCGTTTATGGATGTAATGCTCGTCAACTGTAAAAATGACTACCATTTGGAACGCCGGGAAACGACGTTACTACACAATTGCAGCGCTTTGTATTAGTTATAATTATTACTAGTATTTCTCATCGCTGTATATTTTGTAGCTTAAATATTTGTTTTAGTTTAATAGCGGTAAGTTCTTATGTATAGGTATTGAACATAATATAAACATTATACATAAATAAATACATTTTATATACACACCGTAAACCTCGATTGTTATAAATGTTTGTTTTTTTTTTTTTTTTTTTAAGAAAAACGTATCAACAACCGATTTATTGTTAATACAAATCGATTTTTAACATTTGGTACTCTTTTATTGAACCCGATGCTGAAGGGCATGAGAAAAATATAAGAACAATGTGTGACTTAGTTTATATTTTGAACATTCCGTTCGAAACATCATGATTTCACGCTTGAAGCATCGAAATGAAACATTTCGAAAAATCACATTTCTAAAGTATCGTGTCAGGGTTCAATGTGATTATTTATGTTTTTTTACATAAATAAATTGTTATATATCTTTTATCTTCATATGTAGACAATTATTCTAGTAACTATTTTTTAATTAATCTTTATACACTACTTAAAACAGTCCGGTTTCATTAAACAATATAGCAGGCTCTTACCTCTAACATTGCCTATTATTCGGCAAACCACAGTGCGTTGAAAGTGCGTTTATTGGTTTTATTTCTCAGAAATAATGATAACAATGTGTTATGTTCTGTTGTACTATATTATCACCTATAATTCAATGAATCGGTTTCATAACAATAATAATATTAAGTATATTGTTATTCTATTGATTCATACTTTCCCCACCAACCCCCAGGTAAGTAAAAAAAGTACACATTTTTATACAACTGTTTGTTTTATCTTATGAGATCGTATTCAAGTTAGCATTTTACATCAGCTTAGTTTTCGAGCCAGTTCCGTCAGTTTATCGGAGATAATATTTTACACTGTTTCATATAGGTTTCATTCATTTTATTATTTGATCTAAATACCTGCTCGCCATGATCGCCGTAGTAGCGTGGTTGACACTTGTGTAAATTGGTTGTTTAGCTGGTATTATGACGGTGAGTTTTGAGCGTTTATTTCATTTCAACTCACTTGAAGATAACACGGATAATCGTATGAGCTGCAGGGTTCATCTGAGAAATACAAATTATTTAGTAGATGTACAACAGATGCGGTATAATACAGAGTGTCTATGTCCAACCGTGTTCTACAGATTTTTAGAATTATATTATTCAATTGGATTTTCTTTCAAGAGAAATTAATTTTGTATTATCACCCCCTTAATCATTAGAAAAATATAAATTTGTTCGCTTTTCGAAATTTCTAAAATAGCCGATATGTAATAGACATAATTCTAAATATTTTAATCTAACAGAAGGTGTGTGAAAAAATTATACTCAATTTACAATCACATTATCCAATCGTAATAAATCGTAATAAAACTGTTAATTGATACAGTGGCATACAGTCAATTTTTTTATAGGGATATCTAAAGTATAAATATCATGATACCCACTCACCTCACCAGTCAAATTTGAGTTTAGCCACAATACAACTCTTAAATTTAGGTTTTTTTCTATAGATATATAAAAAATACTAAAAAGATCGTTTAAATAATAAATGTATAATTTTTTGGATGTTAATTTTAAATTTATTCAGTATAATTTTTCAAAATTTAGGAATTCTCCTAATTTTTATGAGGGGCATTAATTTTGAAGTAAACAGAAGTAAGTATATTAGTTGTGATAACTAAAAAGTTAATCCTATTTCAAAAAAATTCTTATCGAATTTTTTTTTTGAACATTTTCGTTATAAAAATAAAATAGATAAAATAAATTATGCTAGTAAACAATTAACAAACGCATCATAATAAACTGTTTTTTTTTTTTACTAGAGCAAAGCTTTTTTTCAAATTTATAGTTAACTTGGTAAATCGATTGACGATGTTATTTTTGTCAATGAGAATGTTAGCTTAACAGAAAAATATCATTCAATTATCTAACCTTTCTTGACGCATGGTACTTTGTAGTTTGTTTTCTATTATTGCTAGTTTTAAAAAAGTACTTTCAGGTGCGGCTATTCTTAAAGCAATATACCTAAAGCAGTATTTCATTAGATCACATTTTTTTTTTATTTTTTGACAATTTAAGAAATAAGTAGCTTTAAAATATTACCTTTTATATTATTTTAGTGGTTTTTTTTTTTTTTTTTGAGGGGGTGTACAGACTATTTATTTTGATTTTCAAATATTACAAATGTACTAAAAAGATTTCTGTCAACCCATTGACGAGATATTCAATTTTGAAATATATTTAAGGGGAAAGTAGTCCTATTAAAACGCTTTGTCTATGATGTAACATAAATGAAGCTTTACTATTCTCCAAACATAAAAGTGCAATATCTCGTCAACAAAATAATGAAAATTAAAAATTTTATCTACAAAATGTACATTTAAATATTTATTTATTCTATCAATTTATAGAATTTCTAATACTGGTTGTTATTTAATAATCAAAAGTAGTCGATTCACATCCGGAAATAAGCATACTATAATGTAATATTTTATGGCTACTTGTTCCTTAGATTAAAAAAAAAAAAAAAATGAAAAAAGTTGATACTTTCAAATTTATTGAAATGATCATATCTTCGTTGGATGCTAAATGAAAACGTACATAAATAAACTTTCTACGAGTATATTATACAATATACATAATACCCCGGTATTAACCTCCCTTATTTATCCTCTAGTCAATAATATCGACTCTCAATTTATTTATTCTATTCTCAATACTTAATTCAATTGACGTGCCGAACCTATTGTCCTGTTGCTTGAATTGAACAAAAATCTACACATTTTTTTTCATGTATAAATGGTGATTTCAACCAGTTACCCACCCGTTGAAGAGTACATTTTCAGCAACCGCATTAATTCCCCAGAGTAACCACGATGTAATCGAAGAGCAGTCCATCGGGAAATCGGCCGACCCCGAGGAAGTGAAAGAGACGATACAACAGATTCGCGATTGCTGCAGAGGTTTTTTTAGAAACTGTGATGGGACAGGTTGATTTGCTAAAACCCATAGTATGTGTGGGTCGTGCCAGATACATTTTAAACCACTTTGCATTTATGAAATCTGTATGCGAGTTAAACATACCCATATTATAAAATACTATGTTATCAGTAATGTGTTTAATCCAATATTCAAATTTTTATATATGGAATGTAGTATATATAGATAATATGATGACCAAGAAAGTTGTTCAATTTATGTAACTTAACCTTCTATGTTTATCAATATTTACGTTTTTAACTATTCTAAATTATCTGACACATAGACCTAGTAACCTACTTTATTAATGGACTGCAATTGCGTAGTATTGAGCAAAAATTAGTCAGACGGCGTCCGATAAGCCAAAAAAGATATCTAGAAAGAAAAAACCAAATATTACTAGATTTATTTCCACGAAAAACATTAATTTATCATAAATATTACCTATCATAGAACATAGATAATATGGCTTATAAATGTGTCAGCTTTGACTCATTTGATAAATCAAAAATTTCTTTTTCTTCGTATATACCGCTTTTTTCTTATCCAATGATGTCTGATTTTTACGTTAGACCAAAAGTGCAGAAGAGGAAATTTACTAGTCATAATGGATCCAAGATCTGACCACTACACATATTAAATACCTGTTTACCACTGATAAATATGAGTGACACGATTTTTTAAATACCATACAATTTAATTGATTAGCCAGATCTAAATTGTTAAACGGTTAACGATGTACTTACTTTACCACTGCTGGTTTTTATGTTAATGTGATTTTTTTTTATATACACATATTTTATATTATGCAGTATATTTGTTATTTCATTAATTTTAGTGTTCCAAATTTAACTTACGGAACCACATTTCTCGAGTAGTTTCAAGAGAAATGCAGGGTTCTAGAAAGATGACGCCAAACTGTATATTATTAATCATTAGATAATACCCAAATTAAATAGAAGTCGTGGAATAATGTAATACATTATAAAAAAAAGAATCGATTATCTGAGAATTATGACTATAGTGATCATATCTTAATAAAATTAAATAATTCATAAAATATTGTTTTAATTATATAAATTGAATTTACTCTTATCAGCGTTTCACGGGACGCACCGGTCTTTTATTACTCTCCCTCTGCCTAAACATAAAAGTGAAATATCTTGTGAATAAATTGACGGAAATCAAAAATTTCGATATCAAAAATTCATGTTATCTACTACTCCAATTATTTATGGAGTTTTTAATAAAGATTCTTCTTTGAAAACTAAAATTGGTATCGCCAACAGAATACTTCGTAAATAATATGAAACATCTAAATATATGAAAATATCGTCTTCAACAACACTTAAAAGTTCCCAAAATCAAAATTTGCATATAAATATAATTTACCTCTAAAAATAGGGTGAGCATGTTTAATGAATCACTGTATAAATATATATTTTTCTTTTTAGAAAAAAATCGATTTCTTAATTATAATTTTATTTAGATTTATATACCCATTTTTTTTTTTTTTTAAGTACATAATTATGTGTTTTTTATAAATGAAATAAAAAAAATGTTTTTCTAAAAGTCTATATTATAGCACCTGCTGCCACTCCTTAGTTTAGGTCATACAAATATTTAAAAAAACACCGTTAAACTATTACAATAATATGTGTAACAGTAATCAAGCAATAAATTTGTATTTTTTTTCCTCTACTTTGGCTGCACGTGTTTGAACCGGAACGATTTTTCTATTATACAGTTGCTTATATTACTATAGGTACCTCGTGACCTATTCAATTGGCGCCAAGTCTGGTACTGAGATTATTTTTATCTATCGTATTTCAGTGTTCAAATAATAAGTGTATAAACTTAATAATTTAAAAAACAGGAAAACACGTTTGAATTCAACCATCAAGGAATGTTATAAATGTAAAATTGGTATTTTTATACAATCCCGATAAAAAATTGCTATTTTTTTTTTTTTTTGCAAAATTCATTTTTTCAAACGTATTTATGTTTTTTATTCTACATCTTTATCTCTAAGGTTTACGTCGATACTACAATTATTTCTACCTAGAAATAATTCTCTTTTCTAAATAATTCCTTTTCTATATAGAAAAAATCCTAGTATGGTTTTTTATCGGCAGTCCGCGGCTTGTTTTTTATAAATTACGCTATTTGGTATGTAGGTTTCATACAATTGACTCGCACCCCAACCAAAAAACATACTTAGTTACGACACTGCAGGTATTATAACCGCATATAAATAAACACCAAAAATCTATCTAAATAAAGATGAAAGATGAATTTATTTAAATACATGATACGTATACAGTGATCAATCTATCGTAAGACACTCAATATCTCGGAAAGTATTTCCGTTTTTAGAATTTATTTCCTAGAACAATTAAGAAACAAGCAAATCTACAATTTTACGGTTATGTTATTTTTTGTCAACTTGTGGTTTCACTCTAAAAATAAGGCTGACAAAATATAACATAAATGTAAAATTGTGGAGTTGCTTGTTTCTTAAATGTTCTATAATACAAATTCCGTAAAAGTTAACACCTTCCGGGATAATAAATGTCTTACGATAGATTTTGTCACCCTGTGTAGATAATAAATAAAAGATAACCATAATTTATCTAGATAAAAAACAGATACATTTTTCGAAATCACAGACAAAATTTTAAACATATATGAAATATTAACGAAATAATTGGTATGTAATATTACTAATATCTGATATCAAGTTAAATTTACGTACTTATATAAATTTATTTTTTTTTAGATTCTGAAATAAACGAAGGATTTTGTCATTTTTAGCCTTTCTGGTAAAGGGAAAAATTCCACTATATCTAACCTTAGAATCGGTACATAATTTAGTAGCTTAATTTTTAATTTTTAATTCACAAATACTGTCTTGAAAAAGTATATTATCCGTACATCTAAGTGACTATTTTTATCTGTACTATGAGAATAACGTCCTAAATAAATATTTATATAGTACGGTAATATTTATCTATATAGGATAAAAATTAGTTCAAAATCGATCTGGATATTATAAATCTGAACGCTGAAGATAATACTGCGCGTATTATAACTCGCGCAGTCGTAGCGAAAAAACTTGGCTTTCCTTAATTAGACGGGCAAAAATGAATTTAACTGATCGATTACCGACCTCGAGTGTCGAACAGAATTGACAGTATGTCACTGCAGTATGTATGATAATTATAATTGATGATAAAATAATTGAGGGAAAAAATGAATGATATTGATCACAGTAATAATAATAGTATACGAATTCTAAACGCTGCAATAGTATTTTGTAAAAAAAAAAAACCGATTAAATCCGAACGTCGAAATGTGTCGGTAAAAGAATCGATATCCTCCGTCGTCGTTGGAATGATATGAGCTACGCATAATGAAGAAGCGTATTTTTTTTTCTCTTACGATATGTTGTAATTATTATATTTTTTTTGTAATATAAAAAAAAAAAACGGTCGATATTTTGTCAATTAAAATTAAGTACGCGTCGTCGTTTTCCGTCGTCAGCGAGAAAATGAGAGAAATATCGAATATTCTCGTTTCGTTACGGAAGAAATTAAAAAAAAAGTAATTTATTTTATTTGATCATAATGATATTTAATATTCACTCGGACGGTACATAACTATGTCCGTCTGCGAATAGGATTGCATTTATTTCGAAGATCTAAAAAAAAAAAAAACTTAAAATAATAATTAAATAGTATGTAAACATTAAAAAACAAGTATTTTTTTACTTTGTTTTGTTCATTTTTTTAATTGGACTTTTTGCCGTGATTTTGAATGTATACTTTTTTCTTTGCTCGGTGACTTTGATAAATTACCAGTAGTTACGCTTTGAGTTTTATATATATATGCATATTTTTTAATCTCCTATACTGGTATAACAATATCTTTTTTAAACTATTATTATATATACTTCAAACAATGAATGTACATAAATATTTTTATTTCATACTTGACGGGCTCAATAATTAGTATTATCCAAAGGCTAGCAAGCGTTTTTATTTTTTACGCACCGATACGAACAAATTTCGCGTAGTAAATTTCCGTTACAAAATTCCGAGTCCCGAAAAAATTTCCAAATTCAAAATGCCCGCTGTAAAAGTGGTCAACATCGAAAATTCAGATCATAAAAAAAATTCCAAAAATCTTAAATCGTATTATAGTTTTTTTTAATAAATAATGCATAATTTCACATTATACATTATAATAATAAATTATTATTTAAGTACATTAATATAAAAATCAGTCTGATATGTTTACCCTGGGTATTTTTAACGCGCGAAAATTTTTTCATCGAGACTTTTGGTAAAATTTCGTAGACATAACATAACCAACGGGGATGGCTTAGAATACGAATTCAGAAAAAAAAGAAGGTGAGTACACTACACCAGTCGGTTCACCAGGAAACCTCCAGGCGGCCAAATCCGTCCCTGCTGATCAAACATTGTTTAGTTTCTGAGAGTAGCAAAGAATCTATTGGTATTACCATGATGTAAACTCTAAACAACTTTTCGAGGCATTTTTTCTTAGGCATTTCAGATCTATTAGTGCATTGATGGGATTATTTTTTGATTTTCCAAGTGGTATTAAAAATAATTGGGGTACCCGGAAACAAAATCATAGGAAAAACGGACAAACAATTACGGCACGCCCCGGGGTTACCGATATAATTATTTAAATTTTTTATCTTTTGTTATAAATCGTTTTATTTATTAAATACGCGTGTCATATCTACGTAGGTATTCGGAATATTTAAAAATCAAAACGTCGTTGTGTCGTAGTGTTTAATGTTTTGACCCTTTATCGATCCGGTAGGTATACCTAATTGTTGTAGTAGTCGGTTTTAGTGTTTTTTTTTTTTTTTATATATATGTATATATATATAGGGATGTAAAACATTATCGAATTCTAGTTTATTATATAGCCACTATACAATATCACGTCGAACGCAAGTGCAGGAATGCAGGAATAAACATTTTGGAAAAAATAGACAAATGTATAGTTACGTCGTCACGATATTTAAATAATGGCGTCCCGAAAAGGGTGTGTAGTCATTGTGCACGTGAAACGTGAGTCTACAGGTATTTTTTAATTTTATTTTGCGAAACGGGCCGCGACCCAAATACAGAAAAACTTACATGCTAGCTTACAGACAGGTATATAATTACATAAGCAGATTAACAGTACTAGTTGACAATGTGCATCAATGATCATCGTATTAAATCGATCAAATCAAAAATGTCCACGGGAAAAGTATTCACTTAAATATTTTTACGTATCTGAATGACCAGGGGAAAATGTATCCAGAAGAAAATATGACCGAATAAAAAACTTGCCAGTACTTGAAAAATACGGTCTTATTATACCTAGACTCCATTAGTGTATCGTAAAATACAATATTAATGTATTTTAATTTTGACAATTGACAAATAAATTCGCTATTTGGCACCGTGTCTCATATTATGGGCCGTGCCATGGGTAGGCTTTTGTTTGTACAGGATACACAGATGAATAGAGTTTTGTAAAAATTATGTATATATTTATTTAGTTATTTAAATTGTATTTTTTTTTTCGTCGCATTTCGCACATAATATTCATAGTGCATATTAATAATAGTTATAAAACACTAACCGTATAGTAAGAATAGCCAAAAACAAATGAAACAAAAAAAAAGTCCGATTTTGATGACATATGTTATACGTATTTTCCTCTGGCCATCGTTTTCGTAATTTTTGACTATATACTGGGTGCGGCAGAAAAATCTCCCCGATTTGTGAAACTCATTAATATCAAACCAAGTCAAATATCGAAAAGTATGTTTTATTTATGAATTGTATACATATAATGTCATTTTGTTTTAATTATTTTTAAAAATTATATCACTCAAGTGATGGCTGTCAATTTCAATACACTGATTGAGCCTTTTTCGGTAGTTTTCTATGACCATACGGGTCATTTCGGGCGGGATTGCGGCAAATGTGTGTGTGGTTGCACTATCTTGTTGATACCACACATTATTTTGTCCATACTCATTAAAAAATTATTCATTTTCGGCCGAAGAAAGTTTTTGGGCATCACACAACAACGATTAGAGATCACCGTTGCCGTAACGCCGTTTTCTTCAAAGAAGTACGGACACCACTCACCAAACGAAAAAATTGCACACCTATTACCTTAGGATTATGGAGTGGTCGTTGGCGAAGTTCTTGAGGATTTTTTTGAGACCCGCAGTACCGAAAGTTTTACTTATTAACCGTACCTGAAAGGTGAAAATATGCCTCGTCCGTAAATACCATAATATCAATTAGAAGAACATTTTGAAGGAGATTCCGGTACAGTGTTGTACGGGTTTTCCAATCTATTTCACTTAATTGCTGAGTGATCACAATTTTATAAGGATGCATTTTTAATTCTTCGTGCCAAATTCTTCGAACACTGCGATCGGATAATTGTAGGGCAACCGCATGTTTCCGTGCAGAACGCCGCGGAGATTGATCGACGGAAGTTTTCACAGCAGCCACATTTTCCAGGTCTGTTACGGTCTTAGGTCAACTAAGAGGATTTTGCTTTTAGTGCAAAATCTGTTTGTCTAAAATTTGAAACCCAATTTTAAATAGTTTTGCGGTCAGGGACGGGATCATGTCGACCAAGCACGAAACGTACGCTGGGTCGATATCGGTGAACCGCCGTTATTAATAATTATTTAGAATTTAAATTCTTCGACAACAAACGCACTATGTTCGACCCGGCCAAGCCATGATAAATACTAATAACGGCATAAATAAAGCTTTCTATCGATACAAATCCCATTAGTTTATCTCAATCTGAACCTAAATTACAATCCGATCGAACTAGGGAGTTATTTCTGCCTCACCTTGTATTATTTTTTTCCGGCGGTTTTGGTAATGTTGTGTATATGGATATTTTTTCCGTGGCCATTGTTACCAAACTGGTATACGGGTGCGCGCGCATACCACTGTATGAGAACTCGTGATGCTGCTGTATACATTATGTTTACAAGAGCTGCAGCTATGGCGGTGAAATAAAATACCTATAATAATATTATTACGGCGTTTTGTATACGATACATTTATAAAATAATATTTATTACGTGAACATTGTGGCCCACGGACAACCGTCCGTTACAATATTATCATATGTGTATATAAATATATGTACAAAACCAGAAACCAAATAACAGTACACCCGGCGAGGAAGGGAAAAAATGTACCTATATAGGTGCATATATATTAAATAAAATATATTATACTTCTTATAACGAATACGACGTACCGCTATACACTATACTACGACAACATAAACACACACACACACACACACACACAAACGTGCGCGCACACACACAATAATACAATATTATAATACAAGTTTAGTCTCCGGTCCGTTTTAATGAAGTGTACACATTGGTGGTCAAAGCAGCAGAACGTCCGGATTTTCAGAGTGCCGTCGTCATGGAGTTCGTACTACGACTGCAGTTGTTCGCCTTGATTTCAGCAACAGTCGGACTATGTCTGGTCGGTGTCGAGGTAAATATAATATAATATCTGTATCTAATAATAATATTATATCGCATACGTTAAATATACAATATTATTAAAATAATTAACAAAAGATTAAATTATCCGTTTTTTGTATTATAGTAAGTTTTTTTTTTTTTTATCTAAACCATTTTCAAAATCATAGTTTTGCAATTTTTTTTAAAAAATAGCTCATTTACACGAAAAGGTTTTCGACCCCTATCTAGATTCTTGATAGTGCAATGAGGATATAATTTTCAATTTTCCGAAAATGGTTAGCTTAATAATTGTGGAAAACGTGTAGAAAAAAAATGAACATTTTTCGATTTGTTGTTATTCATTTAAAAATAATCGTAGAGACATTCTTAGAATACTTACTTGTGTCGGGCTATTCGAGATATAATACAATTTTTATATTTGATATTTTCTTCTTTTTTTTATTTAGTGTTTTTAACATTTTATTGGCTCTCAGAAATGATTACAAATTACACACAAGGTCCATTATAAGTTGTTCTTAGTGGTAACAAATTGAGCGTTAGAAGTAGTTTGTTTTATAAGTGTTTTAAGTTAAAATGTTGACGACAATTTAAAGAAGTTTTTTTATAATAATGTTCCATAATACGAATAATAATATATGAGTATAATTATAATATAAGAGCTATCTACTATCTAAGGCCTCTAATATATATAAATAGTTAAAGCCCGTGCTTTTTCTGTTTTTTTTTTTTAGATATACATTATATTATAAATACTATCAAATTCCAACCCTTGTTTGATCGTTTATAATTTTAGAATATTATAATTGTGTATCAAGACACGTTTCGTCAAATAATTTCTTTTCGCAGTAAACGTTTCAACGCCAGTTATCATAATGTTTACGTAATTATGCGAGGTGCCATACCTCGACAAATTTCACTGTGTCTACTGTCTGTATAATATTATTTCCTGTGGTAAAAAAAATAAAATAAAATAAACTATTAACCGCGAGGCAGAACAAAGTTTGATTAATCGATGGCGTTTACCCAGTCGATACAGATTTTTCACGTGTAAAAAAAAAAAAAATAAATATAACTGAGATTTCCTAAAGCGTTCCCCACATCTGACTAAACGTGTGTTCACTACACGCTGTTAATGATGGTACGCTTCACAAGTGTATCTACCTAATATGGTAATTTTATGATGTAAAACATACAAATTTACGTATTTAATCGTATTAGGTTTATATATCACCTTTAATTTGATAGCAGTTATCAAATTAAAGTATTGATCGCATACAAAATACTTACATATCAAATATATTCTTCATCGTCCCACTATCAAAATCGACGGTGACAGTGTTCCGCACTCGTATTGATAAGTTTACGTTACACCTTCATACGTAATTTGCGTTATCTACTACAGTATTGCGCTGATGAAGATAGGTAATAGCCGCCAAAAAAAGTATGTCAGTGCAGATAATTGAAAAACGCTATTGTACGAGTAGTTACGATTGTGATTTATTGCTAAGTCTCGTGTTGTAATAATATCAATGTGCGTAGGCCGTTCCGGCCTCCCGACAACAAAATACATTCGTGGAACTGGACGCGAAGCTATTGGATCGCATCGAGCTAGCGATCGAGGAGATTGCGAGAAATTCGACAAAAGAATTCGTTGAACACGAAGTTCAAGCCATGATCGATTTATTCGTACACAATTTAAACATCACCATCGACGAAGTATGCGAATGGCTAATTATTATATATTAAATATTATTATTTTTAGATTCTTAATGTAGAAAGGAATGTTTTGGTTTTAATATGATCTGTGTTTTTTTTTTTCAAAAATTTTAAATTTTTTACCATAAATCAAATATATAAACAATTGAGCTTTTGTTATAGCATTTTGAATCTTGTTGGTGAATTGGGGAAGTATTTATTTTTTTATATATATTCCAAGCAGATAAGAGAATTATTTCACAATAAGAGAAATTCGAATAGGAAAAAATAGATAAATTTACCGCAATAGAAATTTCATTATTTTCAAATTTTTTTTTTTGGAAATTTGGTTTAAAATAATCTTAATGACCTGAAATTTTCAAAATATACTTATATTGACATTTTCTAGATATGATAAAAATGATAAAATTTTAAATTAAAAATTGAAATTAAAAATTTAGCATAAAAAATACTCGACAATTCTACTCAACATTCATCATCATGTTTAATTAGTGGTAAAAAAAAAAGGGTGAGCGTAATGTAGTAATATTTTTTTATTTATAAGCTTATAGAATTTATAGTTCAAATTTTAATGGAAATCGTAAAATAACGGCATTTCAAAACATGTTTAACCGAACATCACTCAGAATCGTATTTCGTCAGCAATGATTTATCGTAACATAAAAATATAAATTATCTTTTTGTATCCTACCTTCTCAACGTCTCACCTACAAAAATTTCACTACCATCAGCAGAATTAGCTCTTTTCTTTTTATTAAACGTTTTTAGTAACTATTCATACATCTTGCATTGAGGTTTGCTTTTTTTAGTTACAACAATACACCGGTCTCCGGAATACTACCGACTACGACGATATGCGAATGAAAGAGTTACAGAAAAAAGGACTGATTATGTACGAAAATACAGCCATCACCGAAGAATACGTGATTTATAAAATCGACGTTCTGACAAAGTCAATCGAGGAACTCGAACAGCTCGAAAAATATATAATCGACGAGGAAAAAGTAATAATGTATAAATATTTTTCTTCTTCAATTTTTTTTTTTTACATTTTGGAAAAATTCTCAAGCGTAAACATGCTATGTATGATGTTTACTTTATCATATAATGGGTAACATATCAGTGTCAAAAAAAGCCAAATTCGAAAATTCTATAATTCGATTGTGAAAACATTTTTGCGGTGGACAACTTTAATCTTTCCGTATTTATATATTTTTCATTAACAATAATTTTATCTGTGACATAGCGTTCCCTTTTTAATATTGCTAATCAATCATTTTTTATAAGTATATATATTTTTGAAACTAAAATTACCGAACGTTTACAAATCGATAAATTCAATCGCATTAAAGGTGGCGAAATAATAAGCAAGCTGTGAAACAAAACAATTTATTTTCAGCGTGCCGTGCAATATTGGTTGTTTTATTATAAATTCGGAAAGGGTAGAGTTATCCCGCGTAAAAGGTTTTTGTAAATATTTTAGTTTAAACAACGTTTACATAAAATCTACTTGCGATAAGGACGCGGGACTAATATTGTACAAAAACTACACACATAATTTGATTACTTTTGAACTGATCAATTTCCAATTTTTCATTTCATAAAATCCGCTTATATACCAGACTTTAATACGTCCGTATTCCATTTTTTTAAAAGGACCACTACACATTGATTTCTCGGTGTGTCGCAAGAGTAATCGGCAACAAATACATTTTGCACTTCAACTATTGTGACTGTTTGGCTATGTTCAAGGAAAAAGTTTCAATTATATATTTTACAAAGAAGAGTACTATGCTTTAGCCTAATGATATTTTTATAATTTTTATTTGTTAATAAGTTATTAATGATTAAAATAGGAAAAAATTTAGTTATATTAAAACACGCATTTTAAATTCTGAGCGGAGTGTGGAATGTACTGGTTTTACAATGGTGTTTAAATTTTTATTATTATTTTTTTTTTTTGTGAACAACTTTTCCATCAGAAATTTTGCTCCAATTTTCATGTGTAGCACTTTTTAAAAAAAAAATTCTACTGAGGTGGTCTTCTAAAGAAGCAATTTTTTGATTTTCTTACCTATAGATATACATTAGATTTCCCTCTATATTCTACCTTCCCGATTTCTCTACAACAGTGGCCCACTCACCATGTGAAATATTTGTTATTAAATATTGTGTTATTGACATTTTTTTTTCTAAAATGTTTACCTAAATTTCATTGGTCTGCTACGCACATGTTATTCGTCTACTTCCAATGATATAAATGACAGAAGGACATCTGAAAAAAAATGTGCAACATGTTCATTGCGTTTGATTTGTATTCACTTTTACGACCTAAAACATTTTTAAAACGATTATATGGAATATGTATTTTAGAGATTTGAAAACGAGTACAGCTCGAAACAAACGTAAATCTATTTTTTGTTTTCTGGCTAATCAGTTTCGGTACAGCGGTTAAATGTACTTTACACGTTGGTTATATTATTATAATAATATAATTATATCAGTTTTCTTTACTAAACCATTCATTAAACACATATTTTAATGTTCTTTTTCAGAGATTAAAAGATCTTTCCGACGATTCATTGCAAAAAAAAATAAAATCGGTTTTGGAAAAAATACAGACTACGAAGAGGTTTATTGGTAAACATGTAGATCATCTTAGAGAAGTGGATGATGTCTTAAAGGGTCTTGGAAAAAACCTGATGAACACATTGAAAGTTTCTAACTGGGTATTGCCTTCACATAAAGCGAAATAATCACTAACGACTTATTTTACAGAAATAACGCAAACGAAGAACAGTCGCATCATGTTATCGTTTCATTTATTGTATATACACTTTGTATTTTGTGATACGTGACCATAAAAGCGGTTCAATCGAAATATTGTACTTCTGATAATATTCAATTTAGATAATAAGAAATTATATTATTATGAAAATCGCTATTCTTTATTGTATAGAATCAATAAAATATTTATAAACAATTTTAAACCAAATTTTTAATGAGTAGGTAATTGCGATGTATTAATATCTATATATAGAAATGATATTATCACTTTACATACCAACTTGTTTTGAAATAAATTTAATATTATGATACGACAAATTCATGGTGAGTTGCATTATATTAATATATCTTTTATGGCAGAATAGAATTTTTTTTCAGCATGTATTTCTATACTTTTATATGTAGGGTTGTAGGTATTAATTTATCTATTTAATAATTGAATTTACTTTTTTTTCTTTTTCTGCATCTATAATAGGCAATGGTGTATAACCTAGGATCCAAGTGTTGCCCAAACAACATCCTTAATATGGGTGAGTGGGTGTTGCTAGAAGAACAAATATCAAAATGTGTTCGAAGGCATCCCGTTTTACAGTACGATAAACAATAAGAATTAATTTTAGCGAAATTCTATCGGTAGGTATAACAATATTATAAGAGGTTGGTCACCTAAAATTATTTGAGCAACACCAATTTTTTTTCGGATACACGCCACTAATAATAGGTACACACTAATAGTTTAAATTATATCTAATATGCTATAACAAATACAGTAAACCTACAGTTACATATAGTATTAAAACTATAGTATTGTAACTATAAAAATTAATTTAAAACTAAATTTTATAAAAAAAATATCCATAATTCAACCGTGCACATATAGACATAGGTACTTACTGTATTTATGTATAATGTTGGGTGCTTTTATTGGTGACCGGTAAAAATATCTCAGGAAAAAACATCTGGAGCATAAAATATATTTAGTTAATTAATATTAAATCCTACGCAAAAAAGTGATCCATAAAAAAATATTCATTCGAAATGTTTCCAAGAAAAAATACCACCTAAAAAAATGTCTTAAAAAAAATTAATAGAATCAATATTATTGTTTTTTGAGATATTTCTTATAATCAAAAGAAATATTAGAGTATATTAGGGTAATTCAGTTATTATAAAATTGAATAAAAAATGTATAAATTTAAGTATTAGGTTACAATTTTAATTAAGATGAAAATTTTCAAAGATATTTTGCCCAAGTCATATTTATTACAGGGAATATTTTGTCGAAGATATTTTTGCGAAAATAATTTGACTTGGAACCAGTTTATTCACAAGCTCGTCCATTATATTATAAGTGGTTATGATTGTGAGTCATTAAATTCTCGTTTATTAACGATGCTCGTCCATGAATTATTTATCATTAATAATATAATAGATTGTAATATGTTCGTTTGCTGAAACATGTTAAAATTAAAATAATGAATTTTGATTAAATAGATTCCAAAGTACAATATAAAATACCCTTTAAAAGTGTGGCAAACATGTTTCGCTCGGAACTATTATTTCTATATTATATATATAGTGTTCCAAAACGGCTGCATTGCATTATCGACATTGTATTATTGCATTATTGCATTATTGTAAAATCTTTAACCGTCATTTTTTTGATGAATATTGAAAATCAGATTGGCTTATAGACAATATATAAAGTTAGCGTGCAACACTTTTTTATCATTCATTATTCATTACTGTTTTGGGAAGAATTTGTACGATCCCTTAAAGATCTTTGGTTGAAAAGTTTTAGAGAGACGAAAAAAAAAATACTTTATAATATATATATATATATATATATAAAACCAATAAATTACTCACTATAAAGCCAAAAATATAAAAATAAAATAAAACAATTAAGAGTTTCAAAGTTTATAGGTTTGTTTTTAAATTTTGCATGATTCTTTTCTGTTTGGTTTTCAACGCGGATTTCTTATAGTGCAATCGTGCGTGTACTGTCGAGAACTCATTTTCAATTTTCCGTTTCGGTTACAAACGATTATATTTTGATTTTGCAAGTACAATTGTGTATAAAGAAACCGGTATTCAGATTTCATATACACTTTTAAATATAAAGGTTGAATACCATGAAGGGCTGACAGAGATTAATCAACGTCGTTTCGGACTTGATCACGTCAACTATATTATTCCGTACCACCTGTCTCTCCCTACATATTATAATATTATAATTTCACTCATAAAATATTCTACCTATTTTCAACGCCACCTCTGACTTTTAAATGAGCTTCATGACCAACCTGCACTGTCACTCTCCGAACGACGGTGAAGTAGACGGAAGTTTGAGGCAATTGGTATTTGGTAATGAAATTAAATATTCTCCTCGGATCCTCCTCACAAAAATATAATTCTGTTAAATAAAAATGATAATAAATTCATAACCACAAATTGGACGCTATCTTTAGGGGTACGTTTCTAGATAATAATAGAAGCCACTTATCCGCTTAAATTTTTAAGTTTTACGTAGTCTTGATGTTCGATCATAATCCAACAAAACTGAACTATTTTATGTACAAATATTATCAAGTTATAAGATCCAGGGCACAGGAATCCACTGAATTGGGAAGTAGGTATACGAATGTCGAGTTGACCAAGGAATTCTCGTCTAAATATCGATCGGTTTTGATAAAAACGTACAATTATTATAAAAATATGTTCGCAAAAAATACCATCATGATAACATTATTTTACGAATTTTCAAATAAAAATTGACAAATAATGACACAATATAAAATATGTCCAATGAAATAAAAATATTAAGTGAGGCGTATACCTCACTTTTAAAAAAAAAAAAAATTTAAACACTTTACAGAAATTTAAAGTTAGCTACACAAGTTTATCCACCGTAAATATTACCTATTTAATATTATAGCTACACACAGTGACCCGAAAACCTCTTAGCGAGTTCATACGGCTATTATTTACTTTGTATTTAAAATATAAATTTAAATTATATTTCGTTTTACATGTTCACATTTCAAGTAAACAGACACTTTCATTAAAAACTAGATATTTTATTTAATATCGAGTAAATAACACGTTTATTTATTTGCCAACTAACTATTTAAACTTAATATTTCAGTTTTCGTCATAGTATAATAAATACCTATAAATATAAAGAAATAACTTTGATCAACGAGTAAACTTATAATAAAATAACTTTAAAGTTATATTAACTTAAATGTGATGGTCGTAAAAAGAGGGTTCATTTAAACTATTTTGTCATCAAAATTAATTTCCGGAGCTTTATATACATAATAAATTGTTTACAGTTAAGGTTAATAATTATTTTTTTATAACAATAAATGTATAAATATATTTTAGATACACCATTAATTATTATAAAACTAGCATTTTCAGAATAATTTCATAAAATTACCTTTTGCTTATCCTTTTTTAAACACTTTTTTCAAATTCAAATAGTCTAACTTTTTTTAAGCGTCTGTATTAATACAGTTTTTGTCTAAATCAAAGTCTGCTTAAAATATAGCTATAAGAAGTATAAAAAAAACATGCAACTACTAGATTAAAATTAAGGGTAGGGTGGAATATATATACTAATTTAGTTTTCATGCTAAAAAGAAATAATTAATTGTTGTAATCAAAAAAAATGATATGAGTACAAATTTGCCGGACTATAATTTGTTGGACAATTTTTCATCGGAACATATTTTGTTGGAAAAATAATAAGTTCGAAAAGGTTTTTGTCTATTCAATATAATTTCATCATAAACACTCCGTGACTGTATGTTATCATCGTTGGGTAAAAATTATTTTCCGACAAAATATGGAACCGACGAATTCTTTTTCCGATATGATACGGTTCCGACAAAATTCTTTCTGACGAATTCTTTTTCTAACAAAATAAAGTTCTGACAAAGTACGTTTCTAACAAAATACGGTTCCTACAAAATAGTTTTCCGATCAAATATTTTCAAATATTTTACGTGCCTCCAAATTTGCTATTTTCAAGTAAGGGTACAGGATTACTCGTTTTTTCCCTGTTATCCAAAGTATTCCAATTATCGAGAAATATAGTACGTATTAGTAACTATCATCTTTTGTTGTCAGTAGTTCTAACTTTTCACAAAAATCGTGAGTAGTCAATGATAATCCGTGTCTTTTATTGTATTATACGAGAAAATGTGAGCATATTTACCAACCAAAACACATTTTAAGTAGATAGTGGTTCTACTTCCAAAAATAAGGGTGAAAAAAAATAACATTTATTTAAAATTTTAGTGCAGCTTGTTCCTTAAATGTTGTAGAAAACGAATTCCGGAAAAAGTTAATACTTTCCGAGATAATAAGTGTATCCACTTAAATAGATATCCAGTATATATTACTCTAATTGAAACACTTCAAGAGTTCTATACATTTGTAATAATAAACACTTTGTGAAAACAAAAAACGAAAATAATTTACACCTTGTAAGCTTGTAATTATAACAATAATAAACTACTTAGAGTTAACACTTTATTTTTATAATAATTCATGTATTTTAGATTCTGAGCTGAGCGAGAAATGTATTGGTTTTAAAATAACGTTTATTTTTCATTATTTTTCGTTTTGCAAACAATTTTTTCATTAGAGATTTTGCTCTAATTTCCAAATGTAGCACTTTTTCCGAAAGGAAAATTAACTAGAGTGGTAAGTAAAGGAACATATTATTGATTTTCTAAGGGATTTCCTAAGAGATTTTCATAATAATTTGGAAAAACCTGAGAAACTTGAAGACTTGGTTAAATTTTCAAAACATGTGAGTTATATTTAAACTTTTTATAGATTTAAATTAATAGATATTTTAATTTTCGACACGTACTCTGCAAAGAAAATTGTTCGAAATAACAGAAATTTTTGAAAATTTATTAGAAAGTTAAAGCTGTCCTAGGATAATGAGAATTGGTGCAGTCACTGTTGTAGATGAGAAATCGGGAAGGTAGAATACAGATGGGAATTTAATGTACATCTCTAAAAACGATTTTGAACGGAGTTCAGTTGATAATCAACAATATATGTATATGTCGCATTATGGTAAACAAATTAAATATGCATTATTTTCTTTAATAACAATAATATTTGTTTAATATCGTACTGATTTTCTCATTTTTCTTACATTTTTCTCGGTGTTTCCATCTTTTTTCCAATTTGCTGGAAAACTCTTTGAAAAATCGAAAAATGACCTCTTTAAAGTACTTCCCCAGTCAGGTTTACTTACACAAAAGATGTTATTATTGTAAATTAGAGCGAAATTGCGTTAATAATAATTAATAGTTGCTTACACATAAACATTTAATTCCACTCTATATCATACCAACCCGATTTCTCACCTACAATAATGGCACGCCCATCGTTCAAAGTATGTTCGTATTTTTTTTTCTTTATCTTTTTTAATCGCTTTATAAGGTTAGGTAAATATAAAAAGGGAATATGTTAATATTATTGTGTTCAGTGTAGGCTAACAAGTGCATTATCAATAGTTAAGTTATTTAATATACGCACCAAAAATATGAAGTTCTCGTGTGTCTGTGTCTTTTTATTGTCTACTTCGGTAATCCAGGAAAGTATTTTTGACTTAAAAGCATATAACTAAATAAAATATAATATCGTAACATTTTTTGTTCTGTTTCTTATAGATTTTCGCCGAAGAAACTGATATTAGAAAGACAGTTTTGCCTGTTGCAAAGTCGGCATTAAATGCTGCTAAAATATCGTTAAACGAAATATTAGAACCATTGGAAATAGATGAAATTGAAAAAATGATCTTGTCAAACTACAAGAAAATTAACAATAATAAACTATCGGTAATTTTAAAGATTTAAAAAATTTTAATAAAAATGAGAACAACTTTATTCATAAGTCACCAACAGTGTCATATACAAGTTGGTGATATCTACCCGTGATTCCAAAAATTGTAAACTGCGCCTCGTGTATCATAAATGTATTAATATAATTAGTAGAAATTTAGTTAGAAAAAAAACCGTTTATGTTATAAACTTCCCTGTAATTCCCCCCGTAATAATTTTTGTCAATAATGATTACAGAATAATTTCCTACGTACAAAGTAAAAAACATTTTCATTTAGACAATATTTTTGATCTTGAATTTCGATACGAGATCTCTGATATGAAAAAAAATCGAAAATATTTAAAAAAATTAATTTTTTAACTCCACGCTCGACTCGGAATCTAAAAGAAATACAATTACTAAAATAACTATATAAGGTTATTGACTAAGAGTGCTCATCCCATTTTTTTTGTTGAATTTTTCATATATTCAAATACTGATTTTTGAAAATGTTAAATGAAGTTAAAGCCGATATTTTCGAATACATACATTTTTTACAACATTTAAGGAGTATCATTTGGTTGAAATTGTTGATTTCAGTCAATCCGATTACGAAATATTTGACCATTAACCCACACAGAAAAAAATATTTACATAATATGAACGAAATATTTTTAGCAAAATTGTATAGTTTGTTAGTATTGTATATTTTCGATTATTGTTAAATAATAGTGTAAATGTTATCGAAATAATTTTTGCCCAAATATATCATATTTGAAAAATATTTCAGAATAACATCAAACATTTTTATCTCATATTTCTAAAACGTTTAATTTTTATATTTTTTCGGGAATATTATACAAATAGTTAGAGAACATTTTTATAAATCAAATAACAAAATATTTTGTCATCATAAGAATAAAATATTTCTACAATATTATTAGTAAAATATTTATTAATTAACCACTTCAAAATATATATAAAATATTATCAATTCTCAAATGCTGTGTAGGAAGTCTAGGTAAGGGGAGAGTAATGGAGTATTATTTGTGACGCTCCATATTTTTATGGAATTTTCAATATATGTTCATATTTGAAAAACCAAAAGTGGTATCACCACAGGGTACCTTCCTTAAATATTGTGAAAAATCTAAATATATCAAAATATCGGATTTAACGACACTGAACAATTAAAAAAATCAGAATTTGAATATAATATGCAAAAATAACCAAACAAATTGGGTGAACACGATTAATGAATCATCCTGTATATAACAAACAAAATATTTTGGGATGCTTTTTTAAATAAAGCGTAATCATATTAAACTACGGTGCAATATAATGAAGAATTTTATGGTGTAGAACCAAGTCATCAATAAAATGTATTATTGCAATAAATTGATAACGAATTGAATATCTACGATAAATAATTCACAGTATGAACCTTTGTACCTTAATTATATAAGAATAATTATTACAGAAATAGTTATACGATTATATTCGATATTTTGAGATAATAAAATTTTTATTTTTGGTAATAAGAATTAACCCTCCCCTCCGTTTGTCTCCCGGACACCGGCAACCGCAGACGGTATTCCGAGCCGGAATCACGAAATTTTAAAAATAGTGTGACCAAAAATAACGGTAATGTCAGTTTTTAGAGTGATTTTTGTCTTCCAATTTCAAAAAAGCAAATTCCAAATAAAAAATACAATATTATGTACACATCCTGAAGAATCTGGGCACAGGCTTTGAGTAGGTATTGTGAAACATTTATGTTTTATAATATATATATATATACATATATAGAAAATGTATTTCTCGACCAGTTTCCCTTTTTTAACCTTTTTTTACAACTTTTGTACCTTTTAATCATAGCCGCCGCCATTAGTCTAGAAAAACGTTTTTAAATTTGAATGTCTTTGAATAAATAATCATAAAATAAAATGCGAAATTTCCCATTTATTGATCTCTTTAAAATACCTTTCCAGAACAATTTCCTTTCAGAAAAGATGCTAAACATTAAAACTGGAGCAAAATTGTTGAAAAATTGCAATTAACATAATTTTAACACCTATAGATTCCTCGCTATGCTCAGAATCTACAAAAAATACTACCTGATATAATGAGTGTCTAACATTACGTTGATCACTCTGTATTGTTATAGTAATTATTATTATTATAATTATTTGTTTTTTTTTAATTGAAGGAATACTCAAATTCGTTACCGGACGACTTAAAAGAACTTCGTACAAAAATAATATTTTATTCGTATTTTCATACAGTTGAAATAGCAGAATCTTTAGTAAGGATAATGGAGATCATAACAAATAAATCCGTCGATGCTTTACCGGGAAACTACAAAAAGAATTTATTAAATACATTGCACGAAGTGGAGGAATCTTTAAAACAATATGAAGCAAGTGTTTTTTTCTTTTTCTGTGGAAAAATATATAAATTTACATTGAGAAAAATATTTATTTTACAGAAATCACATGCCAAAAGTACTGCGAATGTCGAAGAAAGAAGCTTATAGTAAATATTTATTAAGAATCAGTAGTTGATATTTTTAATTGTTTATACTTTGGTATTTTTGGAAGCATTCCAAAATTTCTATTGTATCTTTTCAAGTTTTATAGTTATTATTTTAAATACACGCTATTATCATATGATGTAAAATGAAAAATGTGCAACTGTTAATTTATGTACAACAATTAAAAAAAAAAATAAAAAAAATACTATTAAGATAATTCATTAAAGGAAGGATATTATATTTAATTTATATAAATTCAAAAAAACAACAGTTATAATTATCTAGTGTTTTTTTTTACATTTATTGTATAATAAAATACGATCCTCAAATATTACTTAAGTAAGGTACATACTTTTAGATACACAATAAATCTATAATAAACCACATGTTTTATTCTTAATTTTGATTGAAATATTAAAATTAATTATAAAAAGACATCCTAGGACAATGGGGATGGGTGCAGTCACTGTTTTAGGTAATTTAATGTATACCTTGTAAGTAACAATAAACCATTGCTTACGAAAAAACCGATTGTGAGTGGAGTTCAGTTGATAATTATTCTTTGTTAAACAATATAAATGCCATATTGTAGTCAAATAATTGCATATACTTTATAAATCTTCTTTAATAAAATTTGTTAAATGTTCCACTGATTTTCTGGGTTTTCCTACGTTTTTCCCATTTGCTCGGAAAACTCTTGAGAAAATCTAAAAATGGCCTTCTTAAGGAACCTTCCCAGTCGGATTTCTTTTTAGAAACATTGTTATCATTATATATTGGAGCAAAATTGATGGTAGAAAAGTTGTCCACAAAAAAAAAAAAAAATCGTAATATTATACAAATATATTTCATAATTTTTCTTCCGTTTTTTTTTTTTTTTTGGTTGTTTGCATTTGTTGAGAAAACTCTTGAGACAATCGAAAAATTACTTCCTTAAAGTACCTTAAAGCTAATTTTCAGCATAAAAGTTTTGGATGCTAAAAAGCTTCTTTGTATTATCTCTAAATAAAAAGACTCAACTACCACAAATGGGCCCAAGAGCACAGACGCATATTCTAATAAAAACCTGACTAAAGAGAAATAAGTTGTTTTTGGTGATCAAGAAAGATTAAACTCTTTCAATATGCGCATTACAAAGCCAAGGATCTTAAAAGCTATAGAAAAAATAGCCTCAATGTACAAATGGAAGCTTAATTCAGAACTGAAAACATAAATATGCACTCAAATGAAAAACGCTAATCATTAAAGTAGGACTGATAAAAGGTTGAATTGAATAAAATAATTATATAAAAAAATTGAATACAAGTGTTTTAGCTGCTATATTCGAGAGAGATTTTACATAGGAAAAGGTGGTAGTGACTGTATGTGCTCCATACAGAGTTCTTGTCAGAGTGATTGAGTCTTGGGATTTCTCGATTGGCCGTCTTGGCGCTCAAGTTTCTGTGAAAAAAAACCGTTATATTTTATTTGAATTTTGTATGAGAATAATTATAAGGGTACCTAGTGTAGGAGTGTGACGATGGTTGTGTGATTTCTCACACTCTATATATTGTTATATTTTATTTGATTGGTATTGAAATATTTCTAACGAATGTAATAAATGGGATATCGTTCTCGAACAAAGAAAAAACCGTTGTTAGTTGTGATACTTAAAACGACCCAGTTCGCCTTCGCATAGGTGTCGATAGAAGATAACTAATATAAAATTATATATCTTGGGGGTTGCATGGATATTATAAGAATACACAGAGTACAACTGTGGGGGCGACGATTTGAATCTTTTGGTTACGCTGTTATAATAATTTAAATAATAAATTGTACATAGATATGTTGTGTGAGCAAACATTAAATCTGTCAAACAAAATATTGTTTTCTACAAACATATAGAAAAAATTATGTTCTAAATGTTTAATATCTAAATTCGATTATGAATTCCTGTTCCTTTACGTATTACGTGAACGTATTTTTGGTGCATAAAAGAAGTATGAAGTTGACCCAACTTTGAACATTTGACATTTTAAATTTTTACGGCTTATGTTTCTACCATAAATATTGCACCAAAAGATAAAACGACAAGAGACCTCTTTTGTTGAATTTTCAATTTAGTTCTTGACTAATTTGTTTGTTTTTTAATTTATCTGTAGTTTCATTAATAATTAGAACAAACCATAAACCATTGAAAACGATAAACTATTCGATAATATATGTTTTGAAAGGTCATAATATTTATGGTTTTCGTAAAAATTTAATTTTAAAACTTATGCATTTAAAAAAAATTACTACATTACACTCGATTTTATATTGTTGAGACAAAATGCATTTAACGTAATCTAACCTAACCGACGTGGTTTTAAATTATTTTTACGGAACTTGGATTTGAATTTGTGACCACTGAGATGACATTGAGTTGCCATGGAAAACACCACTAGACTACTATATACATACGTTAGAATCGACAATAGTGAGTTATTTAACATAACACATATAACATCCACATAATATTAGAATTTCAAAAAGTTCTAATATTATTTTGAAACTAAATCATTCCGTTAAGTTCTGATTTTTCCATCGTTCTTAAATTGGTAATACACATATGATCAAAATATATAACTAAATAAGTTTCTCATGATTTTTTACTCAAACCATTATCGTCAAAATTTGATAATAAAATTATTTTGTAAAAAAAAGCAAAACAAATTTTTTATTTGTCTACAATTTGTTAAATTATCATGCATTTCTGTTTAATCTAAACATTTATTTACAGAGTCCCTATCAAATAAAAATTACGGAAAATCTCACAAAATTAAAATATCTATAAATAGCTTAAATTAACTAAAATTTTCCACATTTTAAAAAAATAAATCAGTATCTTGAGACTCTACAAATATGTTAAACTTAATTACATAAAAAAAAACAAAATTTAAAATAATAAAATAGTTATTTTCATAAATTTACTCGTTCTTTCTACGTATTTTTCAGTTTCACCCAATTATTTAAAAAACTACATAGACAATCAAAAAAACGACTATCTTGGTCGCTAACTAGTTTAAAAATAAAAAAAAAATTATCTCTTGATATTTTGCTATTGGATCAATAATTATGGTGGAAAACATTTAAACAAAATCACGATGAATAAGACGGTTCTATGGTTTTATTTTTTTTTAAATTTATCCATAAACAAATATTCAATGTAAATGTCTCATGTACAGTATAAAGTAAGCACATAAGTAAGAACTTTTGCATCATTCATTATTTATTCATGTTTTAGGAGCAATTCGTACGATTCCTTAAAGATCTCTCGTTGAAAAGTTGTTAAGAGACAAAATATAATACCGTCTCCATAATAATATTATTGTACGAATATCCAAATGAAAATTGAATGACACAGTATAATAAAGGATGTCCAAGGAAATGCAAATATTATATTCGCAGACAACTTAACCCTCGAGTTTCTACTGTTTCCAGACGTATACCTGACCTTTAAAAAAAAAAAATCACTAAATACAAATTTAAAGTTGGCCATGAATGTTGACCATAAATATTATAACTACAAACAATGACCCTTAAACCTCTTGGCGAGTTCGTACGACTTCTATTTAATATATATTTAAAGTATAAATTTAAATTATATTTCGTTATTCATGCATAATTTTTAAGTAAAAAAAATACTCCCATTGAAATACTAGATATTTTATTTAACACCGAGTAAATAACGTGTTTTTTTAACCAATTTTTTAAACCCAATATTTTAGTTATCGTCATAGTATAATAACTAATGAGTACCCATAATTATAGAGGGAAACCTATGGCCACCGTGTAAACTTATAATAAAAGAGCTTTAAAGTAACTTTTTTCATTTTTAAACCAATGCATACAAATCTGAGATAGCATTAACCAACTTAACCACAATACAATGTAACCAGGCACGTATAAGGCTTTTGGGGTTCGAACCCCCCTCCCCCTCGAAAATGAAGAGCTTTGTAATTTATTTATATAAATTTAATATTTTTTTATAAATATTGATAATATTTGTAATATTAATTATTGTAAATATTGTATGAACCCCCTCGAGTTTTTTTTGTGTACGGTTTTGAATTTAACAATGTAGTACAATACGAAAATTTAATATAATTTCATAACATTGAAACTTAACGACGGCAATAACTTGCACAACATAAAATTTTGGTGAAAATTATGTGGCAACTATTAATTAATAATATTATTTGTCTGGCAGATTAATGAATGTGTTTTTTTTTCGAACAGAGTATATAATATAATATATATTATGTTGGGTGTAATTTTACAAAAAATAATTATTATTCGAATAGATAAATACATGAATATATTTTAGATATACCGTAAATAAATTATAATAATACTAGCATTTTCATACTAACTTTATAAAATTACTTTATGTTTATCATATTTTTTAACACCTTATTCAAAGAGCCCTATTTGTTTTTTTTTTTTTTTTTTCAAGCATGTGTAATTAACACAATTTTACATAAATCTAAGTCTGCTTCGATTAAACCTATATAAAACTTCAAAAATACATGAACATACCATGGATGTGTCAATATTGTAAATTTGAATACATAGACTAATTTAATTTTCATACTGAAAGCAATAATTATTGTAAACAAAAACACTTTACGATTTAAAAATAAAAATAATATCGTACATTTTCCTCTTCTTTCTAATTTTTTTCGGATTTTCCATTTATTGACCTCTTTAAAATTCCTTCCAAAACCAATTTCCTTTCAGAAAAGATACTAAATCAAAATTAAAAATTAAAAATTGTCCATAGAGAAAAATAGGAACATCAATGTAAAACCAATACATTCGTCGCTTCGCTCAGAATCTAATATTAATACTGTCAGAGATAAAGAGTGTCTAACTTTATGTTGATTACCCTGTATTATTAATATTATGATTATTGTTAAAATTATTATTTTTTTTTTTTTGTTTGAAGAAATACTTTGATTCGTTACCCCCAGAATCAGTAGACAAAGAAAAATTGTTTGAACTGCATTTGACCTATTGTCGGAAACACTGAAGATGAAGACGACCATTTAGAACAAATCGTTCACTGTCTTACCGGAAGACGCCCAAAAGAAATTATTAGACACATTTCGCGAAATGAAAGACTTTTTAAATAAATTAAAGCAAGTATTTTTTCTTTATCTGTGAAAAAAAAATGATAATTAAAAGTAATTGTTCAACAGGTGAATGTTAAAAAACGGTGAACAAAATAAAAAAAGTAAATATCCAATTCATTAACGATCAGCAGTTAATATTTTTAATTGTTTATACTTTCAAAGCATTACTAATAGCCTTAATTTCATTACATATCCGATACATCTTTTCAAGTTTGATTGATGTTGTTATTATTATTTTAAACTCATACTATTATAATACGATTTCAAATGAAAAATATGAATAATATCTAATAAAAAAAAAAAATTATACATTATTTAGAATTATTCATTGAACGGAGTTATTTTCATTAGATTATAATTGGTGTTTTTTTTAAATATTCTATTGTCAAAGTCTAATACGATTCCCAAGTATTACTTAAGTAAGGTACATTGGTACTTGTTCTTATATAATAAATCTCTAATAAATCATGTTTTATTCTTAATTTTGATTGAAAAATTAAATTATTCATAAATATTCATAATTAATTTTCAAAACATTACATATATATTAAATTGTTTAAAAATACAGCTAATAACTATTATTCGCATCGATAAATGTATAAATATATTTTAGGTACACCAAAAATTATTATAAAATTATCATTTTCTCAGAAAAGTTCATAGTTTTATAAAATTACTTTTTGGTTATCAATTACAGCTATATAAAGTTTAAAAAAAAACATGCACATACCATGGATAGGCCACTATTATAGATTAGAATTAAATATGAGCAAACAATTTTCAACTTCAAGTAAGGTTTCAGTATTAGTCACTATTTTGATAGAATACGACAAAATTTGAACATATTTACTAACCAACAACTAGTTTTATCGGAAACATAATAAAACACTTAATTCAATTTAAAGATGCACAAAATCTAAAATATAGTTTTCAACATTTTTAAACAACTTTTTTGCTAATATATTTTTTTGTCAGCCAACAAAACTCGTCTTCTTCTTAGAAGGTCACGTAGTAAATAATTCGGAGTGGTCAATAATTAATTTAAAACTAATTTATTATGCATGCAAATAAGAAGTAGTAGAAATAGTAAGCTATAAGTTTAAAAAAATATAGTAGATATTAGTAAGATAGTAGATAGTAGTAGTAGTAGTGATTTAGGATAAAAAAAAATATAAGGAGTAGTAGTAGTAATAAACAAATTTATTAAAAATTATATAATGACGCAGTGTCGGCTTATTCATAAATTATTTATTATTATTATTTGTTATTCAAAACATAGCAAATAAGATTGATGAATAAATAAATTTAATAATACATTTAAAGAAAAAGAGTTGATTTTTGTAATTCTCCATTCAAATATGTGTTACAAATAGGACTACCCTATTTCAAAAACGAAAGTAGAGAGGTACTTTTTTTAGGTTTATCGAGCAGGGAAGAAAAATTAAAAATGATTTTAAAATAAATCTTGATAACCGATCCCACAATGATTGAAAAAAAAAAATAGAAATAAAATTTACTGAAAATCCTTCGAGTTATATTATGCTAGTTCATTAAAAAAAATTACTCAGTGTAAAAAGTTATTTAATTTTTATTTGATTGCAACGAGTTAATGAAATAACAATTTTAGCAAAGTATGATTTTTGAACACGTTTTGAATTTCTGTAATATTTATGATGAGTAATAAGTAATATATTTGTTTATGGATACTGAATTAATGTTTGAATCAACTAAAACCGTGATTATAAAAGTGATTAGTAGACAAATGCACCATTATACAGAACAACAATAATAATAAACGTTTCGTTCATTGAGTAAATCATAAAACATTCAATTACGCAAGAGATGACTAAAAATGTTACTGCGAGTCATAAGCGTATATGTTAATTTTTATATGCATGTATTTAAGAACTGGTAAATTAATATGTGATAATACAATTTACGAAATGCAGTATTATAAAATCATAAATATTACGACATTTCAAAATATCTAAAACCAATTCCACTCAGAATCTTTTTCATTTAGCAATAAATTAATTGTTGCGTACAGATATGCATTAAATTCCTCTCTATATCATTTTCTATCATTTTAACTTCTCACCTATAACGGTGGCCCGCCCATCGTCCAAAGTATGTACATAGCTTTTCTTTTTTATTAACCACCAGGTTATCCGAGTATACAAAGGGCAAATCATAATACTATAATATTGTGTTCAGTGAGAGATGTAAGCAAGTATAAAAACTTATAATGTATTAAATATATTAACAAGTGTGGTATATTTACTAAAAATATGAAGTTCTCGTGTATCTGCGCCATTTTATTTTCTACTTCAATAACCCAGGAAAGTATTTTTTAATTTAAAAGTTTAAACCATAACTAAATAAAATATAATATCATAAAATTATTTTGTTTTGTGTCTAACAGATTTTCGCTAGTAAAACTGATCTTGAAAAAGCAACTACAGGTGTGATAAAATCGATAGCCGATGCCGCCGAAGTACCGCTTAATGAAATCTTTAACGATATAAAGCAATTCAAATTATATGAGACTAGAGAACTTTTAGATGAGAGCTTGTCAAAATTAGAAGACCTTCAAAAAAAATTAAAAAGGGTAATTTAAATATTTGAAAAGATTAGAATAGAAATGAGAACAATTTTATTATTTAGTTTCCCATATGCAGTGTCGTACAAAAGTAGGCGAACTCTACCTGTATTTTCAAGAATGATAAACTGCACTTCATGTGACGAGCAAGATTTGAAAATACTATTATAGGAAAATGACCCATAAATATATTAATATAATTTATAGACATTTTATTTGAAAATGAAACCGTGAATAAAATTAACTTCCCCATAATTTCTACGGTTTTTGTCAACCATTGTCAAAAAAGACTATTCTTTAAAACATTTTAACATTTTAACTTAAAAACATTTTCTTTTAGACAAGCTGCCTGATTTGAATTTCGATACAAGATATCTTGTATAAACATAAAAAAAAAAATCGAAATTATTTAAAATAATGAATTTGTTAACATCGTAAATTTTTTAGTTTTTCCAAATTATAATGAAAACTTTTTGAAAATCCAATCATGTTCTCTCTCGTGTATCAGATCCAAATAATACAAAATAAAATACTCATATTTTTTTGATTGGAGCAAGACTTTTGGTACTAAAGTTTTTTATGGGCACAATAGGTACAATTGAAATGGGTACATCATTGTGAAATTAATACATTCCTCGCTTCGATCAGGATTTAAAAGACATTAAACTAATGGAGGGGGACGATTCACTAAACGTAGACATCCATTTTTTTTTGTTTAAATTTTGAATTTATTCAAATTCTGATTTGCGTAATTTTTAAATTTAGTTAAAGCTAATATTTTCGAATACACAGATTTTTCACAAAAGTTAAGAAGTATTCTTTGGTGATACCAACTTTATTTCATTAATTTTGTTAAAAGTTCGCTAACTACGGTTTTAACCAAATTAAAAATATTTCTCGAATCACCATAAACATGTCTTTTGGAATGATGAATATTACACTTTTTTATTGTGTCAAATAAATACTGTAAAAATGCCTTAAATAAATCCGAAGGGTAAGAAATCGGTATTCTATATGTAATGTTTCAGAATCACATATCTACGTTTAAATTACTTAAATTGAATTTTATGTCTACAAAGTTTTCAGTTTTTCATTTATAGTTTCTGAGCAATGCAAGGAATGTATTTTTGATCATGATGTTAATTTAATTTGTTTTTTTTGATTCTATGTTCAAAATTTATATCAGAAATCTTATTCCGATAGGGAATTCCCTCTGAAAGGGAATTCTATCTTTTTGGTACACGGTGATTTTATTTTACTAAAAGTATTCATAATAATTGGGAAAAAACAGGAAAATTTACGAAAAAAAAGCTTTTATTACTTTAACCCGTCTCAATATCAGCTCTTTGTTTTAGTTTTAGGACTGTTTTAGTTTTAATTTGGTTTTATGTAGATAAATATTTGTTGGGCCAGCCAAATTGTTTGACAATTTTACATCAGGTTCCACATATTGAGCAAAATTTAGTAGGTTTTATATTTTTTTTGTAGATATTTATTGTAATTTTTAATTATACATGTCGATTGGAATCTTATAATTTTTGCCTGCTCACCTTTTATAGGTGATTTCAGTATGATTTGTGTTGTCCATAATCATCTATTTAACTTTTATATCCGTCCTCTTCCCACCCTTTCAATGTATCCCGTACACTAAGACCTCCTGGACACCAATTTCTTCCCGGTAACCTATTCCATCGCTTGTGTATTTTTAATTTTTTCCAACAACGGTACGATGGTTTTTCTCAAATCGCTTTTTAATATTTTACCCTCTTTTTTTCGTTACCCTTAATGATATTGTCTTTTATGTTCCATAAACTTATATTTTAAGTAAGTTTAAATGTTCTGCAAATAAAAAAAAAGGATTATAAAAACATTTTTCCCTGTGCTCTACAATAAGAAAGAAAGTAAAATAAATAATAAACATGGAAGTTCTATTCCTTTTTTTAAAATTCGTAGCATATTAATTTTTTATACATGGTTTTTTTTCATTCGTATTTTTAATTTATTTTACTATAGTTTATAACATCATAGTCAATGCATCATATAATGTATGAGAATAGTCTTTTTTGTTTAAATTAATTAATCAATTCTATTTTCCCAGCCCTATCATCGTTGTTATAAATAACATTGAACGCATAAATAGTATATATGTGATACATGTAGGGAGCACGAGTGGGGATTTAAACCTCCTCTGAAATATAAATTACCCTTCAATTTGTGTTAAAATTGTATATGATAAATTGATTTATATCAATAAAAAGATATTTTTAGCTAACCCCATCCTCCGAAATTTGTTTCTCCCTATGCTCCTGTAACGAATAACATCTAAAATTAATGCCATCCGACATAATGAGTATAATGAGTGAATAATTCATAATGATTCTAACATTATGTCGATAACTCCGTATTATTATTATTATTATTATTTTTTTTTTTTTTTGAAGGTTTACTATGATTCGTTACCGCCAGAAATAAAACACTTTGAAATTGACATATCTCGGTACGTCTTGAATTATGTATTTAGACTATACTCGGATTCAAAGAACATGGCGATAAACACTGCGGACAAATCGTTTGACACGTTACCGGAAAATGTCCAAAAAAAAATATTAGACAAATTACGCGAAATTGAAGAATATTTACAAAAAATTAAAGCAAGTGCTAAAAAAAATAATAAATAATCAAAAATATTTGTTCAACCGGTCGCACTAAAGCAAAAGTAATGCGAATGTCGAAAACGCTGAATAAAATTCGGAAAGTAAACACTTAATTCATTAACGATCAGTAGTTGATATTTTTAATTTTTACGCTTAGATATTTTTCGAAGCATTAGTAATTAACCTAATATTATGACGAGTCCGGTACATCTTTTCAATTTTGATTATTGTTATTATTGTTATTTTAAACACACACTATTAAAATATCATGTAAAATGAAAAATACGCAACTGTTTATTTTTAACAATTTATGTACCTAATAAAAAAAAATAATAAAAAAAATACCATACAAATATATTATATTGGAATTATAATATCTGGTTTTTTTTTTTAAATTTTATTTTGTTTAAAAGTACACTATAGTTTGTAAATATTACTTAAGTAAGGTACCTACTTACTTTTTCATACACAACAAATCCTTAAAAAATCACATATTCTATTCTGAACTTTGATTAAAACATTAAAAATATTTATAAACATGATTATTATAATAATTACACATTATTAGAATACAATTATTTCGATTGCAACGTTTTACATTTTTTGTTCAAAAAACATAGTTTACATGTAAAACTCGCGTACTTTAGCGTGAATCAAATTCTATAATTTTTTATTTTTTATTGTAAAGATGAAAACTTCTTTCAAGCCACATTAGACTTGAACAATTTTGTTTTATATCTAAAAAAAATTCACAAATATTGAAGTTCAGTTGGCATTTTCTTCTTTATTAATAATAGTAGTTCAGAATTTTTAATATTAAATTTATATCAATACAGTATTATGCTCCGCTATGTTTAAGATAATTTTATAATAATTAATAATTTAAGATAAATTGTATATAAAAAACGCATTGAGAACTGTGGATAGATTTGATTACACTAATTTTCTATTTTAGTATTATTAATATTTACCACATATTCTAAATAATATTACATCATTGATTATATATTGTATTGCCAATTCATAATTAATATAATGGGTAAATTATTGTACATACAAGCAAAGTACTTGCAGTTGTTACGAGGCATTTCTAGTAGAATAATATTACTAATATATAATATAATAATATTATTACTAAGACAACTTTCATTTCTGAGAATTTATAATTTTGGTACTTTTATTTTTAAATTTTAATGGAACACTGCCATATTTTGATTCTAGGTTGGATTGTATTTGTAACTTAAATAAAAAATGTTAGTCATAATTGTAAAGAAAAAAAAAAAAACACTAATTCAAAACATTCACAAACATATCTAATTATGGTAGTCTTAAATTTTGTTTTCATTAACGCCAAAACTAAAAAACATGGTGAAGGAGGAAATTGAAATTTTAAACTACCAAATATCATGTATTTGATAATAACACCATGCATTTATGCATACATATAATTTTATTCCCCTAACCTAATTTGGAAGGCCTGTAAGGGTGTATAAAAATAAAAAATCACTTTTTTACCGCTACAACATGGTGAACTTCACAATGAAGTACAACACAAATATAATCATTTTAATCCGCCAGAAAAAAAAAGAATATAAATCCAGAGTTGAAGCTATTAAGGTCCAGAGGGAGCCTAAACACTAAAAGTGTTTATAAATACCAGGTAAAATATATAATTATATATATATTACATATTATATAATATTAAAAATATAGTGTTAATAGTCTCTATATTCGATGACCACCAATGTTCTGTGATGTTTTTGACCACAATAAAGTACGATATTTAAGAAACCCCCAGTTAAATTTTCAAGCATATCTGTTAAGTCTAATAATTTTAAATTACAAAGTGGATTTTATTATTATTCTTCGTTAATCCATGTTAATACCACAAGATTAAGTTATCTATACACTGTTATTAAGTTTTAGTTTTAATTTCAATCAAAATTAAATATTGTCGATGGTCATATGAAATTGAAAAAAAATCCACAAAGAACTGATCAAATAAAAATTAGGTACGTAAAAAACTCTGAAAATTAAAATTTCTATAAATAACTCAAAAATGGCTCAAATGTTTTTAAAAGTTTAATCACGTCTAGAAAATGCAAATTTAAGTTTGCTGTCAAAATTTAAAGTTTCTATGAATATATAAAACTAAATAACACGAAAAAACAAAGTTTAAAAAAATAAAAGGAATTATTTTCGTACATTTTCCCATACTTTCTGTATTTTATTTATTTTTTTGGTTTTGTTCGATTATTAAAAGAATTACATAGAAAATCAAAAAAAAAAAAAAAAAAACGGTGTTTTAGTTCAACAACTAAATTAAAAATTTAACAAAAAATAAATCTTTTTTATCGAAGTAATAATTATGGAAGAAAACATGAAATTCAACAATTTAAACTTATTGAGTCGTAATTTGAAAAAAAAAAACGTATTTTTTGTCTTTTGGGTTTTCCCAATTATTGTGAAAATTACTTTATATATCAAAAAACTACTTGTGACTATGTGTAAAAGGAAGAAAATAGAACTTTTGTCATATTTCGATTGGAACAATAATTCTAGTAGAAAACATAAGTTGAATATATTAAAATAATTAAACCGCGGGACGCTATGTTGCCGTAAATATTAATTAATTTTAATTTTTTGGTTTTTTCAATAATTTCAAAAACCCCTTAAAAAATCAAAAAATGACCTTCTAATGCACTAACGAAGGAAAATTACCTTTCAGAAAAAGTACTATAATCTATATTTGGAACAAGTTTTCTAGTAGAAAAGTTGTTTACAGACAAACACACAAAAAAAAACAACAACATACTTCATGGATCCCTCGGTATGCTTCGAATCGAAAATAAATGTCTTATAATACTAAATATTGTTTAAACAAGTTTTGTAATTTCATTATGACTTTATTTTAAACGAGTAACGTCCATTTGTAATAATAATTGAAAAGCTGATAACAGAATATTAATAAAAAAAAAATCAATTATTATTGAATAATTATTATGATTAATATTAAAATTGCATACATTTTTGTTTTTTAACGCATTAAAAATTTGAATTTTAATTACATAATTATGTAGAACGATAGCAACAACTAATTAATATGTATTAGGTGTCCACTATATATTTTACTTTCGATACATTATTGATCATCCGTAGAACAGTTGAAACGTACGTACCAAATATTATACTAAACATGAAATTTCCATATTTGTGTGTTTTTTTGTTATTTGCTTTTTCAGCAGTTCAGGCAAGTATTTTAGTTTCATCTTTGTTTATCCCGTTATAAAAAATAATGTTAATTTACAATATTTTCAAAACAACGTACGTACATAATATAATATAATTTTTGTTTTTGAGTAGACTGCTCCTCATATAGAGGAACTCGAGAAGACAATGGACAGTGTGTTCGATTCTTTATTTCATATAATACGCATCCCGTTCATAATAGTCGACAAATATACGCCGTTAACAACAGCGGTGTACGGTTTATACGACAAATTGCAACTGCTGACTGAAAAACTCAATGAAGTAATAATAATAATCCATGCTAAATAATATTTATTTGGAAATTTATTATCTAATAAGCACGATCATTATATATTTTGTAGTATAATGACAAAATTAAACTTCTTTAAACTGGATAGGTTTTTATTTTTGAAAAATTTTAATTAAGTAACTAGTCAATTCATAACATTAATTAATATAACTTACCATGAGTCGTCTCATAGAATCTGGCAATTCAACATTTACCCACTTTGCATGGTTTATTCGATTTGTAATAATGCATACTCAGATTTTCCGTTCTTACGACCATTTAAAGGAGGTCGAAATACCAATACACACCATCAACACACAATAGTTCAACACGTGGGTCACAAGTGTGCAGGGCATATTAGTTTTAAAATGAGAGAGGTTCGGTTACATAAGTTTTGAAGACCGTAATATTTACGATTTGAACAAAATACATTTCGTAAATTTTCCCATTTTCACTCACTTGTTATGAAAATTCATGGAAAAAGTTACCTTATTTTAATCGTTTTGCATAGATTATATTAATACACCTATAATATAATTATTCATATTTTTTTGATGTTATATTACATATGATAGTCATAATAGTAAATAGATTTTTTTTTTTTTTTTTTAGATTCTGAGTGGAGCGAATAAAATGTATTGGGTTTTACAACGATGTTTATTTATTTTTTATGGAAAACTTTTTTAACAGAAATTTTATTCCGTTTTACAATAACACAAGTTTTTTAAAGGAAATCTGACGGGATAGGTACTTTAGAAAGGTCATTTTTTTGGTTTTCCTAGGAGTTTTCTCGATGAATGTGAGAAACGGGAGGATAGGTGCAATATTAAACAAATATTATTATAGAAAATATATAACGTTTATGTAATTGTAATAATTGTTTTATCACATTAAGTGATCAGTGGTCACATTAGTTTAAATTATAATTTATGGATTAAAAGGATATCCCCCCCCTCACAAGAAGACAAATAAAATCCGACGAATAAGAAAAGATTGGCACGTGATGTGTTTAAGTTAGTCACAAGAAAAGAGATTTTGATTAAAATATTTTGTTTTAAGAGCCTCAATACTAAGCAAACACAATTATAACCATTATTTACATTTTTTATTGAAAATGAAGTCCCTAAAGTAACTCCCCAGTCCTTTTTCTTTTCAGAAAAAGTGCTACATTTTAAAATCAGAACAAGATTTGTGGCAGAAAAGTTGTTCACAGATAAAAAAATAATGAGCAAAATAAACATCGTTGTGAAACAAATACATTCCTTGCTTCTCTCAGAATCTAAAATTTTTAGGAACAAAGAGAAAATAATTGATTTTTGACTACTGGTGAATCAAAATGTCATTTAAGGCGTTTGTAAATTGTAATTTGTTAATACTATAAAAAAATTTAAAGAAAATTAGTATTATTCTTTTGAATTAATTGTACATCTGTATGAAAAGTCAAATAGTTTAATTATTTATAATTGTTTAAGATGACGGATGTATCCTTAACATTTAACGGGAAAAAAATAAAACATAAATTACAAACAATTATTCCGTTGATTACGAAACTCGGAAACGAACAGAAAGAAAATATACTTTCATTCACAAAAGTTGCGTTTGATAAATTACCACTGATGATACAACTCAAAATTTTACAGAGTGGACACAATATTGATGCTCTCCTAAAGCAACTTCGGGTGAGTAAAAAAATGTATTTATTAAACCTATAAAAAATTATGTTCTATGAATAAAAAATAGGATGCCAAACTTGCATTTTATAACTGTTAAGATTTTTAAACATACAAAAGAAAATTAACAGGCAAAACATCAAAAATGCATTTTCGTACTTTCATTAATACTTGAGATTGCTGCTTGTATCAATTTTATTTCGGTATCAAAATAAACACGAGACAGGTCCGTGGAGTTAGCCGGAACTTGAAAAGCACTAATTCCTGTTATATCAACAAGTTTTAGTGCTTAATTAGTGCTTTCAGAATAATATACAAAAACAAAAATGTGTGCTCACTCCGAACCCGAGTTATCGCTATTGCTAATTCTTAACTTGAGTCATAGTATTAGGTTTTTGCAATCATTTGACACGTTGACAAAATTGATGTGTTCATGTAGATAATACCATAATTAATGGTTTATCATTATTGTTTAATTATCTATAAATACGGTTTTCTAAATTATATTATTTATAAATTATCGTGTTTAGATGGTTGTCGGGGTATCGTACCCACGTTCCACGATAAAATTCGTAGTTACTTAGATTAGGTATACTTAGTGATATAAATTTTCAAAAAAATTGAAAGTTGACTTTTTTGAAAATTTCAAAAAGTTGCGAATGTTATGAAAATATAAATTGCTTTTTAAGTAAATCCCTTGATATACAAAATAATCAAGAATATAATGTAAGACTCTGATTATCTCGGAAAATATTACCTTTCTCGGAATTTGTTTTTTAGAACATTTAATAAATTGGTAGCTCTAAGGCCCAACGTATACCAATGCAGTTTGGTAGTTACGTTTTTACGACCCACCACTTGCAGTGATATAATAATATAATAAATAATATATGAAAGCGCTCAGCGCTGCAGCTGCAATGTTGTGGGAATATGATGGTGACGCGCCATACGAATCGGTCGTTGGTAGTGGCTTTGGTAAATATTTAAAATCTCCATATTTTTTATTTTTGAAAGATCCTCGTGATATTCTGTAGAAGCTATGAAACTTTTAATCACACAAGGCAAGTACTTTTGCCATTGAAAGGCAGTGGCGTACTTAATCCTCTCTTACGGGAGGGGGGGACATTCTTAAAATAGACAATTTCTTACAAATATAAAAAATATAACAATGCGCACATATTGTCACAAATAATTATACGGCCCACGAGAGGAGGGGCGATTACCCCTTCGCCCCCCTCACAGGTTCGCCACTGCTGAAATTTTCTAGGAAATATAGCAATTTTTTCGTTGTAAAGAAGGACCCAAATTTATAACAATTATTATATTTATTGTTAATGAATAATAAGAGTAGCGTTATAATATCTTCTTCATAAAAACTTGCCATACTTAAAATATTTATTACTAGTAATTTCAAAATATAAATAAATTATTTAAAAATTTAGCTTCATAAAAATCCACAAATGTATATGGCGTTTATGTTATCACGGTATTATCTATGCTGCTCATTTACGCCATGCAAGTGCTACACTGTCACACAGCAATGGTATGCGTCCTAAATGCTTTTCACGGCGTTTTCGTCACTCCACTTTATCGTCACACTACAACCTACCTAAAATGTTACAACCATCTTTTATTTGTCATCCTAGTACGAAAATGCGTTTTTGATATGTTTGCTTTAGAGCCGATCAATGTAACTTCAGACGTCTTCTGAATAGTTACTACTGAATATTAATTTCAATATAATTATGTTATTATTAATAGAATTATACGGATTCATTAATCGACGAAAATGGAAGTTTTCGAACAGACCCCGATGAGAACACTGTTATTGAAAATTAAGTAACAGTTTCACTTTTGCGGATGCAAGGGAGAGAGAGCTGTACAATGATTTTATTTTATATTGTATATAATGTCAAAACTTAGAAAAATTCAAAAGATTTACAATATAATTGTATTTAATTATCTTATTTGTCTTTTTTCGACATAGTTACAATATTTATTATAAAAATACAACTAAAAATAATGACGATTGAATAAAATAATCTAATAATTAAAAATAAAAAATAACACAAATTTTATTTTATACATAAACTCTCAACCCAAAATAATTATAAATACTATTAGTATTATTAATACAAATAAAACACAAGTTTATAGGAGAGGATGCGGGTATATAGGGTAAATAAACTTGTAATACACTTTTTTTAAACTAAGCAAAGCAAAAATTTAGATATTTTTGAATACATATTTGTTTTAAAGTAAATTTGGCTGTTTTTTGCTTGGGTTAAATTAATTTTTAAAAGTTTTCCTCACAAGAATTTAATATAAGCATCTGATGTTTATTCGGCTTTCGATACCGGACTGGATGCTATTTTTTACTCTTTCCGACGGGACCTTCCAAGTATTTCTTTGTGACTGCTATCTCTCTGTGCGTCATTGTTCTGCTACGCCATATTGGACTCGATAGCTGCTATCTGGTATACACCAGATCTACTGCTAGTGGCTATGCACCGACACTGTTGACTATGTTCTTTTCTCCCATCCACTTGCTACGCCAATCTCAATGGTTGCTGTCCACCACACTAACTCTGTGAACTGGGGAGCCGGTCAAAACGTCGACAGTCAACATGTTGACAAACTGAAATGTTGGTCCTATAATTTTAAATGGTTTTTTCTTGTGTGAATCCGATAAGAAAATCCACAAATCAATATATATATAAATAATGTTATTATTTAATGGCCAAAATTAAATATAAATTAATTGAATTATTTGAAAATTAGACAAATGTTCTATGAAAATACGAATCTTGTTTATAGTATGGTGAGAAAATTTGAAAGGGTTTTCACTCAGCAAAAAAAGATAGTACTATCGGTTCTTAGCACAGAATCAAAATAACGAAAACATTTACACCAATAATTTATAAATTGTGAATAATTTTAAACGTATAAGTATTTTTAAAAATCTAAGCTTGAAAAATAACCCATTTTTTTCTAACTGTAGATATGCTAAAAAAAATTTGACTAAGAAAAATTTAAATTAATTTTAAAACATAGATAAATTTTAGTAAATAAGTAAATTAAAAACTGATAAAAAAAAAAATTATTAATACATTTGTTAAATTGATATTACAGGTTTTTATTCAATCTAACCTTAGACGACTTTTGGAAAGCTGTAAAAGTAGGATATAGAATATTAAGTTTGTGTCTGTTTGTTGGTAACGTACTGGGTGTATTATTTTGATTACAAATTTCTAAAGTTTACTCAAAAGCATATTTTTAAATCAATATTTTTGTAAATTTGAGAGAATAATAAATGATTTAAATTAATTTCAATCATTTTGCATGGATTATATTAATACACCTATAATATAATTATTCATATTTTTTGATATTATATTACATATGATAGTCATAATAGTTAATAGATTTTTTTTTTTTTTTTTAGATTCTGAGTGGAGCGAATAAAATATATTGGGTTTTACAATGATGTTTATTTATTTTTTATGGAAAACTTTTTTAACAGAAATTTTATTCCGTTTTACAATAACACAAGTTTTTTAAAGGAAATCTGACGGGATAGGTACTTTAGAAAGGTCATTTTTTTGGTTTTCCTAGGAGTTTTCTCGATGAATGTGAGAAACGGGAGGATAGGTGCAATATTAAACAAATATTATTATAGAAAATATATAACGTTTATGTAATTGTAATAATTGTTTTATCACATTAAGTGATCAGTGGTCACATTAGTTTAAATTATAATTTATGGATTAAAAGGATATCCCCCCCCTCACAAGAAGACAAATAAAATCCGACGAATAAGAAAAGATTGGCACGTGATGTGTTTAAGTTAGTCACAAGAAAAGANTACATTTTAAAATCAGAACAAGATTTGTGGCAGAAAAGTTGTTCACAGATAAAAAAATAATGAGCAAAATAAACATCGTTGTGAAACAAATACATTCCTTGCTTCTCTCAGAATCTAAAATTTTTAGGAACAAAGAGAAAATAATTGATTTTTGACTACTGGTGAATCAAAATGTCATTTAAGGCGTTTGTAAATTGTAATTTGTTAATACTATAAAAAAATTTAAAGAAAATTAGTATTATTCTTTTGAATTAATTGTACATCTGTATGAAAAGTCAAATAGTTTAATTATTTATAATTGTTTAAGATGACGGATGTATCCTTAACATTTAACGGGAAAAAAATAAAACATAAATTACAAACAATTATTCCGTTGATTACGAAACTCGGAAACGAACAGAAAGAAAATATACTTTCATTCACAACAGTTGCGTTTGATAAATTACTACTACAGGTACAATTAAAAATATTACATTTTCTGAAAAATATTCTCTATTCAAATCTATATTTAAAATTTGTGGTTATATTTGAAAACCAAAAATATATACTCATGGTGTGAGAAGTAGGGGTAACAATTTCAAACTACCTATATATGTATATATACTCATTTTCTTCCAATTTAACCTTTTATGAACTTTCAATAATCAATTTCTACAAATTACTTAATAATTTATTAATTATTAAAAATGTCAATAATTTCATAATAACATTATGATTATATATTATTAAATTTTACTATCCCTTTTTAATGTGTGGAATAGTTTTAATAACCAAATGTATTATTTTTCTCTAATTTTTCGTAAAACTTCTGCATTTGTTAAATTTGCATATGTTTGATTTACTTCTACCATCGTCTGTTGTTTTCCTGCCTTAGATATACCTAGTATATACCAGAAGTTTTATGCTTGTAAAATAGGTTCCTTGTTGATATTTTTGTGTCCAGTCATTTTTTTGTTCTAATTTGGTACATGTTATTACTTTTATTTTATTTGCTTTCCTAATTCTCTAAAATTAAATACTATATTTTTTTTTTCCAATTTGTAAATAATATTTCTCTTTGATGCAAAACTTTAACATCCGTTAACCGAAGCACAATCGTATAGGTCGAAGTGTGAATCGTGCGTAAATATTTTGGTTTATCCACATTCCACGATGAAAGAATAAAAATACAACGTTATTCGAACAGAATGCGAATTTTGATTAATGCTTGATGCGTATCTTGCGCGGTTTAACTCGGACCGCTTTTTGAAAGAGAGCTGAGCACGTCTGTTTAAGATGTCCTGCAAAGTTTAGGAACACTAAGACGTGAACTTTGCGCATTCCTTTTGACACAGCGTATTATATAGCGGTCGGTAATTAAAACTTATTTTCATAATACAGATTCTATTAAATGATAATCGCGCGGAATGTCTGCCGAACTCTTTTTCTGACAAAAGACCTTTTGTCGATCTTTCGAGCGCCGGGGCCCCGACCCGATTACAATACCATAAACCCCAGCTTGTACCTACTTACTGGAGTGCGCACGAGGTCTAGTGAAATTCATCATTCCTTCGCGGTACTGTATAGAACCCCTAGAGATTCGCGTTTACTGCACCACTATCGCCGGGACCACATCAAAGCGCGGGGACGCGTGGAAATTAATTTTGAAAATCCGAAAAGTTTCTAGAAAAGACCGCGGGATTCGTTAGTGTAAGTGGTATTTTAATTGGCGAAATAGGAAGAGAAAAGGCGCGGTCGAAAAAAAAAGATAAAAAAAAAAAAAAAAAAAAAAAAAAAATATGCCGTTTGACGGATTTCCGAGATCAGAATATAAAATAAAAATAACACGGGAAAAAAAGTAAAAGAGAGTATGGGATTATAATACGAAAACCACATCAGTCGAGAAAGTCTGCAGCTAGCTCTCCTATATAACAATATTATATGTTTACATTATGCTGCCTACTTTAATGTCGGCCGAATTCAAAAATAGACACGCGCGCGCAAACACACAAACACACACACACACGCACACACATTATACGCATTGAATATAATATGCGTTATTAACATAAATCGATAGGACCGCTCGGTCGTACACAATAAACTCGACAACTGCCGTCTGCCGTCGCACGTCTCTTAAAGATATTCATTCAACACTCGAAATGCTCTTTTCGTATTCGCCGTCGTCGTCGCCGTTGTATAATACGCGACAAATTCGATGGTGCGAAAGAAAACCCTCTTTCCCCCCCCCCCGCCGTCGCCGCTATCCGCCCGTACACCGCGCGTATTCATTGAAAATCCTGAATTTAAAATAAATCAACATACTATAATATATATATATATGCATACATAGTATCACATAAATGGATTATCCTTTCTATTTTACAGCGTATACGAAACACGACGACGACGTTCGGCAGTATTATATTATTTCAATATCGCTTTTTATATTGTTATTATTATTTTAATGTAGCGCTGCATTATTATAACAGTACACAGCTAAAGGTATTTATTGTATCGAATTGCCATTCCCCAAAACAGTGACTCGTACACCGCGTTGCGTCTGTCGCGTAGTATTACAATAGGTACGTATACAATTTTCCCCGCCGTCTGTGGACACACTTTCAGCGGCTTTTTCCGGGCCAAATGAACTGGGAAATCGTAATTTGTTTCGCGGGCGGACTGAAGTGATAAAACGTCGGTTGAGTTACGTCGCGTTTTTGCCAGTGGACGATGGTCCTTGCACGGTATACACCTATGTTATATTAGAGCCCGTCGAATAAAATCAAAAAGACGAACTTGTTTATACGCACAATTGTGTGCACGTATCGAGAATATTATAGCGCTATTGGAGGGTTCAAACTTTAGGGTTAATTTTCAAACCCCTGTTATGAGCCGTACGGTTTTTAGATTTTGAACGGAGCAAAGAAGCTTTTACAAAGATGTTTATTTTCTCATTAAATTTGAAAAACCGAACAAAAAAAAAAACGGGAAAATATAAGAAATATAGGTATTAGTTAAAATATATTACGGCCTTCATTTTTCCGAGCACAACTTTTTTACTAGAAATTTTACTCTAGCTTTTAATGATAGCAATGTTTCTAAAAGGAACTTTCACTAAGTAGGTACTTTTAAAAGGACATTTTTTGATTTTCCCAAAAGTTTTTCCAGAAAATGTGAAAAACCGGGAAAATCGTAAAAAAACTGGGAAAATTGGTACAACATTAAACAAATGTTGTTAAATAATATATATAAAGCCTGTTTAATTGATTGTTTATCGTTGCTTACAGATATACATTGAATTCCCGTTTATATCCGACCTTCCCAACTTCCCACCTACACAAGTGGCTGCACCCGTCTCCATTATTTTACCTTTTTTTTTTTTAAAAAAGTACCTAAACGTCCGGCTATAACAATTATTTAGATTATTTGACAGGTTTCGGACGGAGCTTGACCAGCGGCCGGCTGAGACTTAGTGGGGCACAGTATTCTGCTATTACGAGAAATAAACAATATTATTATTATGTTTAGTTCCATGACTGACTTAGCTATCACACAATCGAATTTCATGATTTTTACAAAAAATAGCGGATTTCAAATTTTCCTACAGACTAAAATGTAATACTATATAATACTATACTATGTAATACTAATGGGTATAATTATTTTATATGATTTAGAAAAGAAAATGGAATATTAAAATAGCAGTAAGCGTACAAATGTTTGCAGCCTAAAAAAGAGTTTTCGATCAGAAGATTTGCTGAAATTGTCAACTTCAGAGTTTATTTTGGTAGTACATTTTATTTCGTGTCTGCATTAGGGGTAATTTTATCGATTTTCCAGTTTTTTTTTTTTATAATAATGAGAGAAAACTTGAAAAATTCTTTATTTATTTGGATAAATTACCGGTATTTACTGAACAATGATGATTTTTTTTATTTAATGGATTTGGTTTTATTTGTGTAATAATACGTTGAAAAATTAATTATATATAGAGACTGTACATTTGCATTGGCCACTAGTATATTAGCTTTTTCTCGACCTGAAATAATTTTCAAAATATTCTAGCAATTGGCAGGAATGATATTTGTATAGCTCTATTATACAACTAATTGTAAGTTTCTGTGGATCATAATTTTTGGCTTCGTTTAAACACACGAAAACTGTATAGCTAAAGTTTCTCGAAAGCTTATAACTAAACATTACCCTATAATATTCTATAGTTACCCTACAACCCATTTATACAACAACGATGTTTTTATCCATTAAATACATTGAAAAGAGAATCGTGTTAACATAATATCTATAGTGTAGTAAATACTATCGAGGAAGTAATAAAACTCGAGTATACCGAGTTCACTCACTCCTCTACGACTTACGTGCCATTTTATATTAAATCATGTACACGCGTAACAATAGCTAATAGTATTCTGTATAACAATATCACTGGCTATTGAGACTGTTTTTGTAGTAGCAGAAGTGTTGGACGAGAACTTGAAATGACTTCAATGTTTATCTACGTGACATTTAGGCGAGTCGGTAGAGGCGAGAAGGGTACTAGTGTCAAACAACAGTACAACAGTAAACTCTAAACTCGATTGGATAATAAAATATTGACGTGATATTGAATAGTAACTCTTAGTTATTTCCCATAGACTACTTGCTTATATTTCACGAAGTAATATTATTTTTAATCGTATTTTCTATTCAATTTTGATTTAAACGTACCACCCCACACATTCGTTTTTTTTCCCTCAATAATATAAAATATATTATTATTTTTGTCCCGAATTTAAACCTAATCAAGAATAGATAATATAGATAATATTTTAATATAAATTTACAATTATTGGAAACGGTTTTGTTTACAACACGTAGGTAGGTACGACTCAACAGTTTAAATCGTGTATAATCTCGACCTGTACAGAAACTATTTTACAATTGAAATTCCAACTTAATTCGAGAGACATTAGCATATTTGATATGCAGTGTTAAAATAAATGTTGAACCAAATTAATTTATTATAATATTCGAAGGTATAGTAATTGAAAATCTTATGAATAAATTTACGTTATTTACGTTTACCTGCCTACCTATGTTTTATCGTGCCATTTGTATGAATATTTTCAATGGGCTTTTTTTTTTTATTCAAAAATAATATAACTAAAATATTATTCCTGTTTTAAACATACTATTATTATGCACAAGTAAATTTGTATTTTTTTTATTTCAATTCGTGATATCGTCATCAGAAGTGGACTGGAGCTAAAAGAGTGGCTGGGACTTAGATCTAGATCGGCAATATCTGTATATTATTTGTATTTTGTTTAAAAAAAAGTCTTTTTTACATTCTTTTTAAAAATTATAAAATTGAACAAAATATAAACTATATGATATAACATGTTTTCTGCGAAATGAGCCTAACATAATCGTGTTTTAACCGTTATTTGTGGCTCACAAACACAGGATCAGACCTCAAGTTACAGTGATATAAATCGGTAATATAACTTTGGTAATGTAAAGTAAAATGAGTAATTTATCGGGAAATAATAGATAGGTACAAATTACTCTATAATTTTACGAGTAATTCGGTTTTTTTTGTAATTGTTTTGTTCAAATAACTGACATAATAATTATTACTAGCCCCCCCTATAATTCTACAGTGGCGTGTTTGACTTAGTTTTATTGGGGCGGGCACGTCATACAAAAATTCATGGGAAGAAAAATGTATTCGAATGCCCGTCAGCAAAACAAAAACAATTTGAGCGATACGAGCTCATAAACGTGTCCTCCAAATGTGTTCTAATGGCGAAGGAGACGGAGACGATTGCTAACATCACCTTCCTCATTAAATTTTCAGCGCTTTCAAGCTGCGGCTTTCTCTCGTGCATTCGTGCATGTATAGTCGATACGGCTTTGAATTTCTCAACAATTTTCGTCCAATCAGTATTTTTTGTTTTTACTCACGCTCCGCCAACAACACCGAGGTGCCCATTTACAATATCCAAGCAATGAAATCGATTTGGCGGCGCGTTCGCTCTTTCATTTCAATAATATGGTCTAGTAATCTATTCATGGAAACCGTTGTTTTGCCATTATGTAACACCACTCGTAACGTATTCTGAGAACCGCGACGTCAAAATACGAAACACGCGGGCGGAAAATTCAAACCGTGCGGTCCCACGTAACTGTGCCGAAGGTTTTTCTCGAGAAAAATCTATTCATAGACGCCACCAATCAAAATATATTATTAGCATTAAATAAAAACGAAAATTCCGAAACCACCCAATAATATAATAAGAACGTGCTCTAATCTTATTCTAATCTCTTGTCCTTTAGTAATAACGAACCGTAGGATTTCTCGGAGAATTATGTAAATCATGTAAACCATAATTGAATTCGATCAAAACTCCGATTCCACAGAACTAATTAAAAACATTAAGCTGTTTATACCGACAACCAGATTTTATATAATTATATATTATAATTAACTTTGTCTATAAATACAATTTTCCGCCCGCGAGTCAATCATAAATCATAATATAACGGACACAATGTTAGATCGATTATCAAACTTAATAATAATAAACTAATATCTTAAATATGGTCCTAATTAATATGTGAGTTTTTAAAAATTTTTTTGTATTTCATTTCAATAACAACGATCACTGGCCATATAGTACTGGCTTACCGAGAAATTTCCCAGCATTGTTTCCCAGTGGTCATTAATTTTTACATTTCAAATCGGTCGCAAACTCGCAAATAAAACGTCATAAAAAGTCGGACATACTCCACACCGTTGGTAAGCTACTGTTATAGGTGGCACGTGAGAAGTTGCGAAGGCATATACTATAGTATAGGATATTATATTGTAGTTAATAATAATATCCCGGAAACAATACACAAAATTGCAATCTACAAATGATTCTGAGCGAAACTCGGTACACTAAACAATTATCGGGGTTACCTAACTGCTTCCAGAATTTCCCATATTGCTTCCCATTCGAGTGTCACGCGAGTATCATCCGAGCACGTCCCAAGGGAAAAAGATAATTTTTTTCAACATATCCAGAATATGTCGAAATTCATTTAGAGTTACATAAGTTGCACCGCGAGGAGGTGAACTGGCTTACACCCCAAAAATTGGTTATTTTGTTATCTTGACTTAAAAAAATTATGGCTGTACGAGTGTAATTCAATTATTTTGTTAGGTGTTATCTATACATACCACACTGGTGATTAAATGGCATTCTTTTCATAAAATCACCACCAAACATTTAATGCGCCGATCATTTCGGGCAATTCAATATAATTTGTTGTCAGTTTTGTTTATTTGAAAAATGTCTCAAATATAGCACCACCGCTTCTTCTAAGGTACGCCAAAAAAAACCCACAAAAATATTCAATACTGCCAAGCTAAACTTCTTCATATTATCTTGTTTTAAATACTGTATTATACAATCATATTTTCATCGTTACGATTAAATATTTCGTTTCGACTTCTTTGAGCAATATGAAAAAACAAAAGACCCGATACTGAGAATTGAAGCGGCCATTGTTGTAGGTGAGAAGTTGAGAAGATAGGATACATAGGGTTATTTCGTTTACACCTGTAAGCAATGACAAACCATTGCTTGACGAAAGACGATTCCGAGTGCAGTTCGGTAATACATAATTTGAAGTGTCGTAAGTTTTTTTGGCGAATTTCGTTTAAATTTGATTTCAAAACGCTTATTTAAACAGCAAAAAAAGTCATCCGATGATTTTGGAAATTTTACCATATCTAGGTAAGTCCAATATAAGTATTATTACCAAATTTCAAGTCTCTATGTGTATTTATAACCGAATTACAGCAAAATCTCAAAAATTAAAATTCCTTAAAAGCTCAAAATTGACTAAAAATGTTTGGCAATGATACCGTAAGAAATTAATTCAAAAAGGCAACAAAAAAAAGTATTTCGTAATTTTTCGATTAAATCATTTTTTTGGTAGAAAATTTTTACGTCCGTTTTTTTTATAAAATAATGAAATCCTGAAATCGTACGTTTTCCTACATTTATTCCCACTTAATTGCTTTTATTTAAAAAATGGCACCGGAGATCAAAGAAAAATGACCCGTTTAAAGTACCATATAGACAATTTGAGCTTTCAGAAAAGTTGCTACACTTATACATCGGAGCAAGTATACTAGGAAAAAACGTGTCCACAGATTAGAAGAAGAAAAAAAAATAAACGGCATTGTAATACCATTAGCTCCATCGCTACGCTCGGAATCTAAAAATAATAAAAAAATTAAATCTGAAATAACGGTGCTAATAAAATCACTCAACGATATTATGTATTATTATATTCAACCGACAAATCGTCGTGTGGTGCATATCATCACCACACGACCGACGATAATAATTACATTTTTATTTTGGTTATATTAAACGATCGCTGCAATATGGGAATCGTATCCCCTTTGACAAATCATTAGTGGATTGTACACCATAGAAAAGAAAAAAAAAATTCATTATCATTAATATACGGCACATGGGTATGTCTCGTTATTTTCGGATAGTAAAAACAACAACAAATTTCACAAAAAAAAAAAAAAAAAAAAAACCGTGTACCGCTCAATCGATTATTGCCAAAATCGAAAAACGGTCTCTTGTACCTTATTCTATACGTATGTTATTATCTACGGTAAACTTTTCGCTTTTGTCAATTTTATTACATTCTAGTACGTACTAAGCCTACACGCACGCACCAAACAATCCCGGGCCAAAACGGAAGTTTATTCGGTACACATTAATAACACTGCGAACAGAGAATCTTGTTGAATGTGTAAATACTGCAGTATGTGATACAAGACACGTGTATTTACTCGCGAGACGTTTAATAGTACGTCTCTAAAATCTTATTTGACTAAACAAACGTTTAGGCACTGACTTTTCGTTTTAAACACGACAAAAATAACATTTTGTCTATACTATATTATATCGGATGGTGTTTTTACAACTTTGGACGTTTACGTTATTACGTTTGTGAGTTTATGGCCGTTAATATTTTTTTTTTTTTTTTTTTTATACCTGCAGTAAACATTTCCAATCGAACATAACATTGTGTCCGTAACGTTATGATTCGTGATAGGCTCACGGGCGGGAAACTGTATTTACAGACAAAGATAATGTAATGAAACAAAATCATTGGTCGCCGGTCTTAGCAGCTTATGTTTATCCAGCTCTACGGAATCGGGGTTTCGATAAAAGTCAATTATGATTGATGAATAGTTCTCGTTATTGCGGTTCATTGTTCACGAGATGATAATCCCGTTCAGAGCATATTATTATCACACGGTTTGGCGATTTTGGAATTTTCGTTTTTATTCCATGCGAATAATATTCGGTCGACCATGTTAAGAACAACATTTCCTCCGAAAAATCTCCACGGCCGCTTATATGGCGCACAGAAACGCCAGGAACGGAACGTTCGTTATCAGTGCGTTTTTCGCCACTTGCTGCGTTCAGGGTTTCGGTTATGGTGATATCGGAAATAGAAATCGTACCGTAATGCACAAAAGCAGGAAACCCTGACGGTTATTAGCTTACGGACCCAAGTCAAGGCAAACGTAACCCACCTAGCGCCGTGTCCACACCCGTGTAACACGGTTGCACAACGAAATAGTAAAACGTGTAACGCTACAACAAAATATGTGTAACGGGCGATTATTTATGTTTGAAACCGTTTACGGGTACGCCCGTAAACACCGCTAGTCGCAATTATTTTTCG